CCGTGGCAGTGTCGATGATACAAGATCTCGCGATGTCATTCAAAATGATCGTATGCCGGAAAACTTGCTAAATTACTAAAAAATTCCCGCAAATGACTTGAAGTGGATTCCACACAGCAACCATCGCCCCCTCCTGGCAGACTAATGCTCGTTAGCAGGCAAGGGTGCTGGGTCATACTTGTGCTACACAGGGACAGCTGCCACTGGGGGGTGCCTTTTCAAACGTGATGAGTTACTGCACAGTCAGAACGATGGGAGTCTACAGCCTGGCCATGGTCTCAGCCCATCATCCTCTCTGGGGTATATAAAATGTATACACTTTCGTGGCATTTCAACACTGTTAATGCTGTTGGGAGACTATGTTTTTCCATGACCCTGGCCCTGGAAATATGGAATTTCCACTACCCAGTGCTCACTTGAGCCACAAATCACTCGACTCCGTCTCTCGCGCATTAGTATTCCTGGCACGAGCGGTGAGGTTGGCGATGGATGTCTTTGCGCCGTGACATTCTCACGCACCCTTCTGGCTCCACCACGTTTGTCTCCATGGGATCGTTAGTGCACGGGCTCACACGCACACACACGTGGCACGCACACTCACGTGGAGCACATCAGACGCAACGCACACGGCAGAGTCCCCAGCAGGTTTCGTGCGACGTGTTGCCACGCGCCGTTGTCTGCCGCCTTGACTGCACAGGCACGTGCTGTATGTTCCCCCCCCCGCCATGAGTTTTGAATCGCGTTGAAACATTCCGGCAGCTAAACGCCCCTTCGAGCCGCTGATTCGTTTTGGTGACAAACGAGACGCCTTCAAGCACGGCGCCACGCAGTGACGTCCTCTGCACGTTCTACCCGTGGCCGCGTGTATTTTTCTCCGGGTCCTCCGGTTTTTCCCTCCACATTTAGAATCAACATCACGCGTTCAGAGTATTTGGCTGCAATGAATTTCCACGCGATGACAAGCCACTTCGTTGAGCTATCATTTGTGGCCAGTCACTTCTGAAAAAGAGCTGCACAGCTCACTGTGCCTTACCTGGTAAAAATAAAAAATTGTTTCTAAAGAATTAAAGCTTTCGTGACTGCATAAAATTACTCATTGGTTTTTTCGGTAAAGTCACGTATGTAGAAATACAATAAAATTATATTAAAACAAAACAATCACGACGTTTCGATCACAACACAAGCGATCTTCATCAGGTGTCAAGAACAAATCATGGAGGTAAATACAACAAAAAGATGAGAGACGAGAATTCAACAAACCTGAAAAAACATTGTGAAGCACATCCAGTCAGGCCAACAACACAGTTAGACACTTCCTGGCGGACCACGAATTTCAGAAGAGTGTTAAATTTCGTGTTCAACCTCTGGATTGCACAATCCAGCATAGAGTGAACAAATACGAGGTACAAAGTCAGCAGAAATACATATACAGGTACACCAAGAGGCAAGGAGGGAGGAAAAACGGACAGAGAAGCAAGGAGAGAGAGAGAGGGGGGGCCGGAGGGATAAACCGAAGCCTTAAATAGGAAATAAAGTTGGGGGGAGGGGGAAGGAGCCGGAGAGAGAGGGTGCAGTAGATGAAATAAGCACATCCTGCATATCAACAGAAGCGGGTAAGAGCAGGCTTGAGGGAGCAGTAGATGAAATCCTGCACATCAACAGAAGCGGGGGGGGGGGGGGGGGTAGGAGCAAGCTTGGGGTGCACATTTAGGACAGAATTGCAAAGGTAACTTCCCCGTAGAAGTGTATTAATAAAGAATTAAAGCTTTCATGGCTGCATAAAATGACTCATTGGTTTTTTCGGTAAAGTCACGTATGTAGAAATACAATAAATTATATTAAAACAAAACAATCACGACGTTTCAATCACAACACAAGCGATCTTCATCAGGATGTGCTTATTTCATCTACTGCACCCTCTCTCTCCGGCTCCCTCCCCGCAACTTTATTTCCTATTTAAGGCTTCGGTTTATCCCTCTGGCCTGCTTTCTCTCTCTCCTTGCTTCTCTGTCCGTTTTTCCTCCCTCCTTGCCTCTTGGTGTACCTGTATATGTATTTCTGCTGACTTTGTACCTCGTATTTGTTCACTCTATGCTGGATTGTGCAATCCAGAGGTTGAACACGAAATTTAACACTTCTGAAATTCGTGGTCCGCCAGGAAGTGTCTGTGTTGTTGGCCTGACTGGATGTGCTTCACATAATCTTTCTTAGGTTTGTTGAATGCTCGTCTCTCATCCTCTTGTTGTATTTACCTCCATGATTTGTTCTTGGCACCTGATGAAGATCGCTTGTGTTGTGATCGAAACGTCGTGATTGTTTTGTTTTAATATAATTTTATTGTATTTCTACATACGTGACTTTACCGAAAAAACCAATGAGTACGTGCGTCGACCGCCTGTGGCGGCGCCATCGAGTCGGCCAACCTGCGGCCGCCACGCGAGAGAGCGAGACGGACGTTCATTGCGAAGGAATATGGTGACTGAGCAGCCTCCTTCCCATTTGCCCCCCTTCGCATAGACGAGACGTGTTTTTATTCGCATGCCATTAGCCATACGGCCTTCTGGGAATGCATTATTTCAGTAACATTGGTTCAACACCATACAAACTCTGGGACGGTTTTGACATTGAGTGTCTCATCAGCATTGTCAGGGTTGCTTCTACTATGGCAATGATGCGCGAACTGCCAGATGTCCGTAAGCAAGGAAGACTCTCTCTTTTGTATATGAGTCCGAGTTTACGAATGATCATCTCTCTTTATTTTCAAGGGCACACGTGGAGCAAGCCCTGACCTGCAACGCGGTCGCACACGGACGCTTCAGGATGCAATGAATGTCGCCGCTTTGCGCTTGAGCGCACGGACGGGCAGGAGGCCACGGGTGGGGAGACACCACCACGGGGAGGGACGGGTGTGGGAGGGCCGGCGACTTGTCTGCTGGCTAATTTCGTTACTTCGCCACGTCCACGACGCTCGTGATCGTTTTGAGTCGTTAATGGGGGGGGGGAGAGGGCAGCTTTGCTTGAGCCACGTGCTCTAGCGGGGCTGTCTTGGTCGCTTCCCAATTGGTTTTGGATTCCCCGCTCCCGTGGTGGGGATCGCGGTAACCTCGCACGCGGCAGTGAGGCCAGCCAGAGGCAGGGCGGTCAAATAACATTTTACCACGTAAATTAAATGGCTGCTTTTTCATATTTTGACAAATCAATGGTGCAGCGGACGTGCAGCGTATTCTTGGGGGGGGGGGGGATGGGTGAATGAAAAAACATTCGATTGGGGGGGGGGGTTCAGGGGAAGAGCGTAGCCAATTTGGCTATACTTCCACACGTTATGCGATTGAGCCGGCAGTTGACTCTCGACTTCCTGTGATGGGGAATGGCATAGACGGCCCAGATAAAGCAAGAGACACGGACGATGCGGAGGCTGTGCGAGTTCGACCCCAATACTCCGAGTTGCTGCTTCCCTGTGCAGATTGATGCCGAGAAGACGCCGAAGGGTGATGCTACCCCATGTTTATTGCTTTTTAACGTCATCGATTTCCGCTCGGACGTGTTTGCTGGTCGCGTCGTAAAGGAGCAGCAGCTAATAAGTAAACCAGTGCAGCAGCATTATGTAAAGGTGTTGTTGTATATTTGTGCACGAGTGCCGCCAGCTAACCAGCAACCTGGATAATCTGCATGCGTCGTGGGGTATTAACTGGGAAACCCGTGCAGTGTGTTATTATTCACCCTCCATCATAACACGTTCCACTTCGTGTCTCTGTTCGTCATTTACACCGCAGTCCCCCAGTCTCCACCACTCATCCCTGCACCCCCCACAGGCACCGTTACTCACAATGCATGGAGAGATCATGTGACCGCACCTGCGAGTAAGGCACGCGTTCCACGTTATGTATCGGTGTGTTTTGTTACTTCCACGTGATGCTCATCTTTCCCGCGTGCATTCAAAATATTTCCTGTGCCGTATCCATGATATGGAAGACGGTTTCATGGGCTTGGGACCTTTCAGCACCACGGTATAATCACGATAATGAGATGAGCCGTCAGCATTTGGGCCTCCTGATTACAAGGGGCAGTGTCTCAATGCGGGTTACGAGAGCAGGGAAGCGGACGGTGATGATGCTGGCTCAGCTTCACACCACGCAGCGCAGCGATCCGCTCACCGCCACACTCGTTCAGGGCGGTGGCGCGTTGATAACACTCGCGCCTCGCAGCAACTAGGGCCTAAGTTCGATTTCCAACTCGGCGCCCTGTTCTGCATGGGTTTTCTCTGGGTTTTATGGTTTCCTGCCATAGCTAAAAAATAAATAAAACAGACAAAAATAAATAAAACACACAAATATGCCAATGCTGAAAAATTACTCAATTGGGATTACAGACAGCAAAGATCACCCCCTCATGAAAAAAGCCTGGCAAGCCCTCCTGAAAATGAGTCTTGAGACTCGGCGAGACTCTGCTAGGGTAACCACCGTGATGAGAATGTAGCGGTGCTCGTGGGAGACGCCAGCATTCCCGTCGGCGTGCACGTGGAGCTGAGAGACCCTGCAGCTGGGGCCTCCGTGGCGAGGCCCGGGACGCCGGCTCGCGCCAATCGAGGCGTTGTCAGCTGAGCAACATTGTTTTCGCTTCAGCCGAGTGACGTAACGAGCGGAATGGCGTAAGCGATTGCTTTTTGAGGACGTGAAATAATCCGTACGATTAACAAAATCATTGCGTCTATTTTAATGATTCAAAGTAAAATACACATTCTGATGTAACACAGACCCTTGCCTTTCTCTTCCCGCATTTAACTCCGACGCTGTGACATGACAGCACACCAAAAACCCTGCGTAGATTTCCATCCTGAATGAATGTGTTGCACCGTGTATGAACGTCTGCTGATGACGTTTTTCTGACATTTTGTTTGTTCAGGCCCTCACGTTGTCTGAGCCGCGGCCAATTTTCATGACCCGGCATCGATGTGAGGGGTCAAGCGGAAGCCGCTTCAGCCGACGACGCTGCCGAGGACGATGTCCGTCTGCGACTCCTTCACGGAGCATGCCTGGATCAAAGGGAAGTGCCAGGACTGCTTCAGGCCTCTGGACCAGCACAGAGGAGGGCCCGCGAACCAGGCGGCCGGCGGCGGCTACGCGGCTCCGGCGAACGCGGAGAAGACGAGACCTCCCGTGGCCAAAAAGCCGGCGTCCTTCAGAGCCCCGGCGGTGCCGGCTCAGGTGGGGAACGGCGACGGAGAGGTCGGGAGAGATGCCCGGCAGGCTGAGGGGGGACGCGGCGCGCACGCCGTGATGGGGTGGAGGAAGGGCGCCGACGACGGCGCGCTTGACCGGAAGAGAAGCAACAACAACAATAATCATTTTGGCGTCAGGCACGCGAGGCTCGAATGCAAGGAGGCGGCGTCGGCGGCGTCGGCGGCGTCGGCGGCGGGGGTGGTGGCGGTGGCGGACTTCGGCTCTGCGTGCGATAAACTGGAGAACGGCAACAATAACGACAACGACGTGTTCGTTGACGCGGCGGTGCTTGCAAACCAGCACCTGGCCGTGGGAGACGCTGCGGGGGGCTGCGACAACAGCTCGCTGGCGCTGTTCCTCAACCGCATCAGGAGCCGCTACCACCGATCGGCGGAGCGCGGCGCGGCGGCCGCGCATGGCTGCCTGGCGAGCGATCGGAAGGTCTGGCGGCCGAGAAAGCGCGTCCGCCTGGGCGAAGGGGGCCCCGAGGTGATCAGCCACGAGGGAGGCCTCTTCTGCTACGCCGACTCGGAGGCCTCATCCGGGTCGCCCGAGGAGGCCGCCGGAACGGGAGGCGTCGCGGCGGCGAGAGAGGAAGGCCGGGAGAGCTGGGACGAGAGCGACGAGGAGCTTCTGGCCATCGAGATGAGGATGCGGGACCGCTCGCGCTTCGCCGAGCTCAGGCCCAACAGCCTCTCACCCGTCCACTTTGGGAGACACGGCGGCCGTACCGTGCGGCCCCGGAACCCCGTCCTCCGGCGCAACCGCCCGCACGAGCGCGACGACCGCCTGGAGGCTGAGCGCGACGCGGCCGGCGGCGCCGACGCGAAGCTCGACCCCTCGGAGGGCAAGGCCTCCTACATGAGCAGCTCCGAAGACCTGGAGACGCCGTCGCCCGTGAGCGCGGGGGCGCTCTGCTCTCGCCAGGAGTCGACGTCGCAGGGCCTGGACTCGCAGGGCAACACGAGCGTGAGCAGCGACGACGGCAACGTCGCCGACGCCGAGGCCGAGTTGTGCGACGCGAGCGAGCGCTCCGACGCGGAGGACGCCGCCGAGAGCCGACGCCGCCAAGGGCCGCGGAAATCGACGCCTTCCGAGACCGACTCGGAGAACGCGACGGCAGAGCCGGGGTGCGCCGTACCGGCAGGCGACAAGAGGACGTTTGAGACTCGCGTCTCCATGTCGCTCAGGGCCAACGAGAGGAACGTGAAACCGTGTCGGGTGGTGAACCTGTACCCGGCGCCCGCCGCGTGCGACTCGGGTCCAAGGCCAGACGAGGTTTCCGCGAAGCCGCGACAGGCCGAGCCGATGGAGGGGCGCGAGCAGCCGCATCGACCGCAGCGGCAGCAGCAGCACCACGCGGAGCTCCGGTGCGGTGCTCAGCTCGACGTCGGCGCCACGAAGTCCGCGGCGGCGGCGCAGGAACCGTTAACCACGGGGGAGAAGCGGCTCAATCACGCCGCCAACCTCCTGTTCACGCTGAGCGCCGTGCCCCACACGCCCGTGTACGCCCAGAGCACGAGGAGTAAAATGTTCATTCCTCCCTCGACCGCTCACGAGGAAAACAACAACAACAACTACTGCGTGATTCCCGCTCCGCCAACGTCGGAGACTCAGGCGTCGCGCCCCCAGCGCAAGGACTCCCCCGGAGAGCGCCCGGGTCGCGAGCATGCGCAGCCGCACGGGAGGCTCGGGGGCGGCGGGAATGCCTCCCCCGCGATCTTCGTTCCGAACGCCGCTTCGCCACGGATCAGCGGCCCTGCCGTGAAAACCACGACGGCCGCGACGCCATCAGGGCTCTGCCAGGGCTCCCCGCCGAAACACAAAACGTTTTTGTACGTCGAGGGAGCGGGAGGAGACCCGCGGAAAACGTCCCGCGGCTCTGTGACCGTTAGTGAAAGGATCGAGAGGTCGGAGGAGGGACTGCTCAACGCAAACGCCGCCCTGCATCACGCGGAGGACAGGGGAGACGCCAGCGCCGCGCTGTCTCAGCTCGTCGCTTCTATAAAACCTCCCAACCTACCTCCCGAATTGCCGAAGAAACGGTTCAAAGGCCGGATCGCAGGCGACGAGGCCAAACTCGAGGTGCCGCCGCCCCCGCAGTATTGCGACCTGAAGGGGGACGTCTCCTCGGACGGCCGGGCCGCAGGGAGCGACGAACGCCACGCCTCCCGGGAGGCCGCGCTCGTTGGGACGTCTCCCGCTGGCTTCGTGGATCCCGACGCCGCGGACGAAAAGCTGCAGCCGCCCCTCTTGAGACAAGGGGGCGTCGTGGCACCGGGGCCCTCTGCCGGTGGCCGGCCGCCGGCCACCCCCCCGCGGACGTCGCCGAAGTCCCGGAGGGAGGCAGACGGCGGGGCCGACGCGCCGCCCCGGCCGCCCCCCCCGCACGAGTTCGTCCTCGGGGCTTCGCCCCGAGCCGCCGCCTCTCCTCCCCAAGTCGAGCACGAGCCGGACCCCTTCGCCTGGGCCCGCAACGGAGACCGGCGACATTCCCGGCGCTCCCGCGCCATCACCGCGGCAACGGCAGAGCGTGCAGCGCAAGTCCAGCCACTGGGAAGTTGTGCGGAATTTATTTCCGTGGAAAAAGCAGCAGGACGGGCGGCCGAAGAGCGGTGATCGCCGGAACGGCGATGCTCCTCAATGTGAAAACGAGCGACCCGACCCGGAGCGGCCAAGCGGCGGTGTCGTCGTCGAGCTCGACACCAGCGAGAGGCCCGCGGCCGCCCTGCTCTACAAGCAGGACTACCCGCGATTCATCAACCCCGCCCTCGGAAATGGCCCTGGGGCAGCCCAGAACTCGAGCAGGTCTCCAAAATCCAAAAAGTCTTCTGGCTCGGTCAGCGAAGAACCGGAGCCGCGACCGAGAAAGCGGTCGGTGGGCGCCGAGCGAGGCGAGAAGAAGACCCTGGCCCTCGGAGTCGCGAGGCAGACGGCGGCCAAGCGGCCTCCCGCGCAGGCCGGGGCGCCAATCCCGGCGAGCGAGAGCAGGTGAGATTCGGAGCCTTCGCGGGCAGCGCTTCCCTTCGCGAGCGTTCGCGCGCACGGCCTCGGCCCGCTCACCGCTTGCCTTGTCGCTGAATGCTGCTCACTCGCGGTAATCCTGCTAAGGAGGACGTAACCGAAAAGCGCCCCGCGTAGCGTAGATTTAAAGACCTTTTGCGGTGACGTTCTAACGTCGTCTTCCCATGGGTCATTCAAACGGAAATGTCTTCATCTCGTCACTTGACAACAATTGCACGGTTGAATACATTTGGGAGGTGAGTTGTAATGATGCAGATCCCTTCGTGACCGACACAATGCCGTCTATCTGCACCCTGGCGTCGCGAACGCGCCACACTAACCCGCTACTTGGGCCACTGTGTCCACGTCGCCATGGCACAGCAGTCAGGCCCTGGGTAGCCAATTGCACGGTGCGCGTCTAACAGGCCGGCAGTGTTCCGCTCGCCCGCGGTGGCTTGCCACGAGCGGCCGTGGCCCATCCTGGCAGTGTCGCCGCAGCCGATTGAATGCATTTCTCACCAAGCCGTCACTCGAATCTGCTCGCTGTGGTGCTCACTCTACCATTCCTATTGCTCATTTATAATTAAAAGTTTGTTTTACTACATTTCTGTTGAATAGTTCATGCGTGATGCACCCAATTTTAGGTCTCTGAAAGTTTAAATGAATGGAGAAAAGTTTATTTTTTAGTTTGAGATGATGTAACCTGATTTGGCGGTTAATATGCGTTATGGATAAAGTCGTCAGATTTTACTTTTCATACCAAGTCACAGAACTCCTCAAGTGACACGGGTTGCTGAGCACGTGGCCAATGGCACAAACAGCCAAGGGGCCAGCAACAAACAGCGCTGTCAGAGTTGTGACAGGCGAGAGTGAATACGTTCATTGAATTGACGAGGATTGTTAGAGAGCTTGGGGAAAAGAGACGACGGTGGGAGGAGGAAATCCCAAAGTGGAGCGGTGCGAGGGAAGAAGCAGAAGATAAAGTGTTGTGAGCTGCAGTGTGGCGAGTGGGTGAGTGTTACAATGTGTAACCCAACTGAGTAGTTTAAAGATGATTATTCAGCGATTTGGATGTTTGGTCAATTACAGTTGCATTGGTTATTTTTATCTTCAACTTGACACTTGACAAGAATTGTCTCATTTGTAAACATTTCTCTCTCTCGTTACCTATGAACAAAGTCTTCCCCATTTGGAACGTTGTTTTTCATAATCAATGTGAGTGTCATCCGCTCTGCGCGGATTGCCTCCAGTTTCTCCACGTGCCTCCCACGTGCCTCCAGTTTCTCCACGTGCGTCCCACGTGCCACCGGAGCCTCGCCCACAAATGGAATTGGCGACACTCCGCGTCCAGGCCGTGCCTGAGACGGTCTTGTGCTGGAGTAATGAGAGACATGAGGAGGAGGAGAGTAAGGTTCGAGTGATTGATGAGGTGGAGGAGGTGGAGGAGGGTAAGGTTGGGGTGACTTGTGAGACGCGACTCCCCCGGCAGGAGGAGCGGGGCGCACGCGCTGCCACCGCCGCTGGGGGGCGTGAGGGTACCACGATGTGGAGTTTGTGTGTTCTTCTGTTCTACAGAGTGTGTGTGTGTGTTCTTCTATTCTACAGAGTGTGTGTGTGTTCTTCTGTTCTACAGAGTGTGTGTGTGTGTTATTCTGTTCTACAGAGTGTGTGTGTGTTATTCTGTTCTACAGAGTGTGTTCTTCTGTTCTACAGAGTGTGTGTGTTCTTCTGTTCTACAGAGTGTGAGTGTGTGGAGTTTGTGTGTTCTCCTGTTCTACAGAGTGTGTGTGTGTGTGTTCTTCTCTTCTACAGAGTGAGTGTGTGGAGTTTGTGTGTTCTTTTCTACAGAGAGTGTGTGTGTGGAGTTTGTGTTCTTCTCTTCTACAGAGTGAGTGTGTGGAGTTTGTGTGTTCTCCTGTTCTACAGAGAGTGAGTGTGTGGAGTTTGTGTGTTCTCCTGTTCTACAGAGGGTGTGTGTGTGGAGTTTGTGTGTTCTTCTCTTCTACAGAGTGAGTGTGTGGAGTTTGTGTGTTCTCCTGTTCTACAGAGAGTGAGTGTGTGGAGTTTGTGTGTTCTCTGTGTGTGTGGAGTTTGTGTGTTCTTCTCTTCTACATAGAGTGAGTGTGTGGAGTTTGTGTGTTCTTCTGTTCTACAGAGAGTGAGTGTGTGGAGTTTGTGTTTTCTCCTGTTCTACAGAGAGTGAGTGTGTGGAGTTTGTGTGTTCTCCTGTTCTACAGAGTGTGAGTGTGTGGAGTTTGTGTGTTCTCCTGTTCTACAGAGAGTGAGTGTGTGGAGTTTGTGTGTTCTCCTGTTCTACAGAGAGTGAGTGTGTGGAGTTTGTGTGTTCTCCTGTTCTACAGAGAGTGAGTGTGTGGAGTTTGTGTGTTCTCCTGTTCTACGGAGTGTGAGTGTGTGGAGTTTGTGTGTTCTTCTGGTCTACAGAGAGTGAGTGTGTGGAGTTTGTGTGTTCTCCTGTTCTACAGAGAGTGAGTGTGTGGAGTTTGTGTGTTCTCCTGTTCTACAGAGAGTGTGTGGAGTTTGTATGTTCTCCTGTTCTACAGGGAGTGTGTGTGGCGTTTGTGTCTTCTCCTGTTCTACTGGGAGTGTGTGTGTGGAGGAGAGATGATGGTGTGGAGCATGCATGTGCAAAGCCTTTTCCACCTCGGGGCTGAGGGCTTTGTTTATTTTAGGCCCCAACGTGAAGTTACCCAAACATGAGCTCCCAATCACACTGGTGCTTTTCATCGGGCGTGACAAGGAGCCGTGCAGATCATTATCACGACTGCACAGAGCACAAATTCTGCCTAACCTGGAATCCGACTGCCGTCACATCTGGGTTGCAAGCGCTCATTTTCTACCTGGCTGCACCTGGATAGACGTCATAGTGAGGCAGCAGTCAGGGTGATTGATGATCCAACAGTCACGGATTCATTCCACTCACTCACCTCCTCCTTGTCACTCTTTTACCACTACTGCCATGATTGACTATTTCTGGGAACTTTACTTATTGAGGACTCGGTCTACGAGACTGTTTCATCTCATCCACCACAAAGCAGTTCACAAAACACTCACTCACCGACCCACCTACTCACCACCGCACTGCAGGTAACCTCACCTCTTCCTGCATCGTGGCCCCGCCGAGCCGTACAGTGGAGGAATTCCACCGAGTGACCGTTTGCGTGAGCGAACGCATTCTTCCTGTGCTTGCGCCCTGTGGTCTCGCGCTGCGGCGGCGGTGGCGGCGCCGCGTCCGTGTGGTTTGTGGAGGCGGGCGCGGGCTGCCGGGAGTTGTTGTGACAGGTCGCAGTCGTGCGGCGGGGAGAGACGAGAGGGGCTCTTGCCGGAGCTGTGCGCGTGAGGCGTAAGCGGGCGCTCGCGCTCGCGGGCGACAGACGGCCCCACCGCGCGTCGCCGCGTCTTGCCGCGACGACGACGACGACGACGACGACGACGACCTGCCCGGGCCGCGCGCCGCGTCTATGGAGTCGCCGCGGCCACGTTCTTAAATTACGCAAACCGGTTTCTCTTCCGAAGCGTCGACCCGGAAGACGTCCACATGGACAAGAAGTCCGTCGTGATTGCGCCGAGCCAGCCGGCGATGGGAAACCACGCCCGCGGGGATCGCCCGGCGAGGAGGGAGACGCCGCCGACGACGGAGACCGAGACGGCGCCGGAGTCGCAGGACGTGCCGCCGACACCGTCGCGCGAAGCGTCGCCGCGCTCGCCTGCGCCGCGGCCTCCCGGCGGCCCCCTCGCTGCCGTCTACGGCAACGTCGGTGAGCATGCCGCACCGCCGCACCGCCGCGCACGGAGAGCCATCGTGCTGCGGTGGTCGGCACGCTGTGCTACGAACACGGCCGTCCGCCCGTGGCCAATTTCTGCTCACGACCAGTATCGGTGCTGAATATCTGAACCAGTGTTGGGCCTCAAAGGAGTACCGAGTGGGTAAACATCAGCAGTGGGCAAACCAAGGCGGCCAGGAATTGTTACAGCCACACCACCCCGTCATGTCCCATGCCAACGCGCGCATGTGGGCTTGTGCTGTGTGCGGCGTAGTGTGTGCACTCGTGGTGTGTGGGCTTGTGCTGTGTGTGGCGTGGTGCATGCGTGTACACGCATGTGGGCTTGTGCTGTGTGTGGCGTAGTGTGTGCACTCGTGGTGTGTGGGCTTGTGCTGTGTGCGGCGTAGTGTGTGCACTCGTGGTGTGTGGGCTTGTGCTGTGTGCATGGGCTTGTGGTGCGTGGGCTTATGGTGTGTGGGCTTGTGGTGTGTGCGGTGCGGTACGTGGGCTTGTGGTGCGTGCGTGTGTGTTTACATGGTACGCACACGCACGGTCAAGGGTGGTATCCAAGCGAGCGAGATGAAATGTCAATCGTTCATGACACCGGAACCGTAGTTGGGGGTCTTGCCGTGCGGGGAAACACGCCAATGTCACTTCAAAGGCTGCGGTGTTGCCGATTTGTCACCTCAGCGCAAAGCCACCGCCTCCAGCGCTCTGGTGGCGCATTTTCACTTCCTGTGAGAAAGCATCGAGTCGAGTAATCCACTTCCTCATCTCGACTTTAAAAAAAACACCGCCTTGTAGTCGCACCGAGCCGGGCTCCAAGCCTGACTTGCGTTTGAAGCTTCTTTTAACGTGAAAATGTGTTTTAAGTGGCTGTGGGGCATATCACCCTCTGGTGACATCACTATTGATGTTGTATGGGAGAAAGAGGCTCCGGGGGTCAGAACGCTGAAACGGCACCGCTGAGATTCTGGCTTTGAATGTGGGGGTCCGGGTGTCAGCCGCCCGTGAGTAACCGGGTTCAGCAGTGTCGCGGGCTGACTGCGCAAATAACATCATATTTGGTTCTTCATTTAATTCATCAAAAGATCCAGTCTTGAGATTTGAAAATGTTGCTATGACCGCCTCGACAGATGTTTCCACGGCAGCGCCGGTGGGTAAGGGCAGCGCCGGTGGGTAAGGGCAGCGCCGGTGGGTAAGGGCAGCGCCGGTGGGTAAGGGCAGCCCCGGTGGGTAAGGGCAGCGCCGGTGGGTAAGGGCAGCGCCCATAGGGACTTGAATCTCAGACGCAGTTCCGCAATATCCCGACCTGCGGACCGTTCTCCAACACGGGGTGATGCACTGGATATAGGTCATCACCTTGGTCGCTGACCCCTGGGTTCCACAGGGACTAAGTTCCCCATCGCAGTCTGCTCCATCTCACGGCCGTCCTCACTGCATTCGGCTCTCTGAGCCGTGCGGCAACGCAGACCCCGATCCTGCCCCCAAACGCTTGAGGTGAACTCTCTGTCTGCTCTGCTCCCAAAAGTGTGGTCCAAGCGTTGGGGTCTCCACAGGAACATCCGAAGGGATTAGCAAGGGAAGTTAATAATGACGTTTAACTACCCGGGAAATCCTCGCTGAGTCTCCGGGTGTGTCGCGTGCAGCAGGAGTAGTCGCGTGCAACAGCAGTAGTCGCGTGCAGCAGCAGTAGTCACGTGCAGCAGGAGTAGTCGCGTGCAGCAGCAGTAGTCACGTGCAGCAGGAGTAGTCGCGTGCAGCAGCAGTAGTCGCGTGCAGCAGCAGGAGTAGTCGTGTGCAGCAGCAGTAGTCGCGTGCAGCAGCAGTAGTCGCGTGCAGCAGCAGTAGTCGCGTGCAGCAGGAGTAGTCGCGTGCAGCAGCAGTAGTCGCGTGCAGCAGCAGTAGTCGCGTGCAGCAGGAGTAGTCACGTGCAGCAGGAGTAGTCACGTGCAGCAGTAGTCGCGTGCAGCAGGAGTAGTCCCGTGCAGCAGCAGTAGTCACGTGCAGCAGGAGTAGTTGCGTGCAGCAGGAGTAGTCACGTGCAGCAGTAGTTGCGTGCAGCAGGAGTAGTCGCGTGAAGCAGCAGTAGTCGCGTGCAGCAGTAGTCACGTGCAGCATGAGTAGTCGCGTGCAGCAGTAGTAGTCCCGTGCAGCAGGAGTAGTCACGTGCAGCAGCAGTAGTCACGTGCAGCAGGAGTGGTCATGTGCAGCAGGAGTAGTCGTGTGCAGCAGTAGTCGCGTGCAGCAGGAGTAGTCGCGTGCAACAGCAGTAGTGTGCAGCAGCAGTAGTCGCATGCAGCAGGAGTAGTCGCGTGCAGCAGCAGTAGTCACGTGCAGCAGGAGTAGTCGCGTGCAGCAGCAGTAGTCGCGTGCAGCAGCAGGAGTAGTCGTGTGCAGCAGCAGTAGTCGCGTGCAGCAGCAGTAGTCGCGTGCAGCAGCAGTAGTCGCGTGCAGCAGCAGTAGTCGCGTGCAGCAGGAGTAGTCACGTGCAGCAGGAGTAGTCACGTGCAGCAGTAGTCGCGTGCAGCAGGAGTAGTCCCGTGCAGCAGCAGTAGTCACGTGCAGCAGGAGTAGTCGCGTGCAGCAGGAGTAGTCACGTGCAGCAGTAGTTGCGTGCAGCAGGAGTAGTCGCGTGAAGCAGCAGTAGTCGCGTGCAGCAGTAGTCACGTGCAGCATGAGTAGTCGCGTGCAGCAGTAGTAGTCCCGTGCAGCAGGAGTAGTCACGTGCAGCAGCAGTAGTCACGTGCAGCAGGAGTGGTCATGTGCAGCAGGAGTAGTCGTGTGCAGCAGTAGTCGCGTGCGGCAGGAGTAGTCACGTGCAGCAGCAGTGGTCACGTGCAGCAGGAGTAGTCACGTGCAGCAGCAGTAGTCACGTGCAGCAGGAGTAGTCACGTACAGCAGGAGTAGTCGTGTGCAGCAGGAGTAGTCACGTGCAGCGGTAGTCACGTGCAGCAGCAGTAGTCACGTGCAGCAGGAGTAGTCACGTGCAGCAGGAGTAGTCACGTGCAGCAGGAGTAGTCGCGTGCAGGAGTAGTCGCGTGCGGCAGGAGTAGTCACGTTCAGCAGCAGTAGTCACGTGCAGCAGGAGTAGTCACGTGCAGCAGGAGTAGTCACGTGCAGCAGGAATAGTCGCGTGCAGGAGTAGTCGCGTGCGGCAGGAGTAGTCGCTTGCAGCAGGAGTAGTCGCTTGCAGCAGCAGTAGTCACGTGCAGCAGGAGGAGTCGTGTGCAGCAGGATGTGTCGCGTGCAGCAGGAGTAGTCACGTGCAGCAGGAGTAGTCAGGTGCAGCAGGATGTGTCGCGTGCAGCAGGACGAGTCGTGTGCAGCGAGAATGTCCTAGCCGGCCCTTCCCCAAACTCAAGTAAACACGCAGCAGGTGACGCAATCACCTCCTCCAACCTCCTCCAACCCCTCCTCCCTCTCTGGGAAGCGACACAAGGCGCAGCAGGGCTGATGAGTCACCCTCCTCACGACTCCCAGCCATGCAGGGTGCTGCTGATGAGTCACCCTCCTCATGACTCCCAGCCCGACTGCGTCAGCATCTACCTGGGAGAATGCAGACAGTGTGAATGCACTGTACCCATTCTCCCCCCCACCCCCAACTCTTTGACCCAAGTAACCAAGCTGACGATTCGCCTCCTTCCCAAATGTGACCCTCCACGTAAAACATAAAGTTATTTGTTACATATCCCATCAGCCATACAGCATGCATAACTTCAGCAGTATCGGTTTCGACATTCAGCGTCTCATCAGCAGAGTATGGTTTGCTTGAATCAGGTGTTACCCTTTCTGGCAATAAAACAGTTGTGTTAAGATGTTAAAACAGTTGTGTTCACATGTTACAACAGTTGTGTTCACATGTTACAACAGTTGTGTTCACATGTTACAACAGTTGTGTTCACATGTTACAACAGTTGTGTTAAGTTGTTAAAACAGTTGTGTTCAGATGTTACAACAGTTGTGTTCACATGTTACAACAGTTGTGTTCAGATGTTACAACAGTTGTGTTAATATGTTAAAACAGTTGTGTTCACATGTTACAACAGTTGTGTTCAGATGTTACAACAGTTGTGTTAAGATGTTAAAACAGTTGTGTTCAAATGTTAAAACAGTTGTGTTCACATGTTACAACAGTTGTGTTCACATGTTAAAACAGTTGTGTTCACATGTTACAACAGTTGTGTTCAGATGTTAAAACAGTTGTGTTAAGTTGTTAAAACAGTTGTGTTCAAATGTTAAAAAAGTTGTGTTAAGTTGTTAAAACAGTTGTGTTCACATGTTACAACAGTTGTGTTCACATGTTACAACAGTTGTGTTCACATGTTACAACAGTTGTGTTAAGTTGTTAAAACAGTTGTGTTCACATGTTAAATCAGTTGTGTTCAGATGTTAAAACAGTTGTGTGCAGATGTTAAAACAGTTGTGTTAAGATGTTAAAACAGTTGATACTGGCAAGGGAGGTCCCGTGATTCTAGATGATTATAGGCCAGACATCTCTATGTGGGTTATGTAGTGGGATTGCTCTACACTAATACACAGCAACAAATAACATTAGCATTGTTGTAGAGAATGTAAGTAACACACAATAAGTATGTTTCCCAGTAGGCTGTGCGGCTGATGGGATGTGTAAAAAAAATATACTTTCATTTTTCACCGTGTGTTTGACTGCACGCGTCGGAGTGCGCTGAGCAAGGAAGAGCCCCACGTGGGCCCACGGCCGTGCCCGGGGCCCGCGGGGGGAAGCCGCGAGGGGCCGTGAGGGCCCCGGGGGGATCGAGCGATTCCTCGACAAGATAATTGAGATGGAGAGACAGGAGGAGGAGAGAAACGTCTCAAGACTCGGCCGGGATGGAGTCGGCCACGTGTACGGCCACGTGTACGGCCACGCGAGGGAACCGCAGACAGAGGGGGCAGCGGCGAATAGGGAGCGACCTCCCACTAGAGCAGAGGGCGAGCGGAGGGCTCGATTACGAGAGTGAAGGGGCACGGGGAGGCTAGCAGAGCGAGACGAGAGGGGGACGAGCGAGTTCGTGGAGACTCTGCGAGGTGGAGGGTGCGGTCTCGCCGCCGAGCGGCGTTGTGCAAATAGCGGCACGGGCGGTGAGCTGGGAGGAGGGCGAGTGGAAGAAACCTCCTGAGGAGCGTTCGCTGTCCGCGTCGAGAAACGTCGTGACCCGGGGTTGCTCTCGAGTCATCGGTCGGGCCCGTCATGTGTCGACCCGGCGAGCGTCAAATCGCATCATCGGCATTGTCCGCTTGGCACGCGTGGACCCGGAGCGGGGGCGTCCGTTTAATTTGCCCCGGGGCCCCACTTGAGCCCCTGCTGCGGGGCCGCGCCTTTACCCGGCCCTCACGGCGCCGTCACTGGGCGGCGTGAGTCTCGCGTGGTGGCGAGAGCGGCGTGACTCACAAGCCGCCGGGCTGTGTGTCGGGTTTGACAGGAGGAGGGACATTATTGACGTCCTCGTGCACGTTGAGTACTAGAGCGGTGGTGGTGCAGGGGTCACCGCGCTGCGCTTAGAACCCAGCCACCCAAGTTGTATTCCCACTCGAGACCAAGAGCAGTGGAGAAAATCGGAACCGGTCTTGGGCCTCCCCTCGGTCGACTCGGCCTCATATGAGTACTTGGTATGATGTGTAAATAAAAAGCACCGGGAAGACAAAGGTGGCAGGGCGTGGTGTTGGCCGGCCTTCATGGGACTCACAAGCAGCACTTGCCTCGCAGCCTTTTAAGTCTGTATGGGGGATCTTTGTCTTTGTATAAGTTGTGTGTGTGTGTTGTGTATTAGAGTAGTTCGTGTGTGTATTATAGTAGGTGAATGTGAGTGTGTGTGTATTGGAGTAGTGAGTGTGAGGTGGGGCGAGGTGGTAGAACGTGGAATCGTAGAACGTGGAATCATTTGACACCCAGAGCCTCTGTCGCCACGCTTGAAACTGCCTCGATGCCGATTGTGAGACCCTTGTGTGAGGCCGTGGCGGCCTGAACCCACGTGCCAGCGACGCCTCAAATTCACCCTTTCCCCCCTCCCCATTGTTAAACTCCTGCAACGCTCCTCTGGAGTGGAGGTTCCTCTGACACGCGAGAGGCACAGCAAGGAGCGGAGCTCCTGTGCTGCTCAAATGAGCATCGAGACGCCGGTGGCTTATGTCATCTTCGCAGCCCTGAGCCAGGAGTGGAAATTCTGCATTAGCGAGTCAACTGGCAACGAGGTTTTAAACTCTCGACGACTCTGAACCGCTCGCCCTACCGCTGAGCAGTAGAGACATTGGCAGTGCTTATGAAGGAAAAGCTTTGGGTTGTGTGGTCAGGGGTTGTCCGTCAGCTACAGCGGCGCTACAGCCTCTCGTGGTTGGCGGGCACAGTAGCGTCCTATCAGACTGATCTCTGCGCGACGCGGGTTGCGCTGGATGGAGTCATGCCTCACCGCTGCCTTGACTGACTGAGCCACATTTTCAGCATTTCTCTGCGGAGCCGACAGCCAGTGGCTTCGCTTGGGAAGTGACGTAGCCTCAGGCAAAGTTGGGACGTTTGGAAATATGCGCCGCGAAAGGTGTGGCCACGGGGAACTCGGCGCAATCGGAGGAGACGCGCGACAGGGCTAGGAGAGAAGCCCACCTCTCGGGTCGCCGCGAACCGCCCTCCGCGTTAGACCTCGTCATCCCCCCCCCCCGTACGAGGCGTAGCGCACCGCGCTCGTCTCTCCGGCCAAGTCGAGCATCCAGAGTAGGGACGTGCGTCTGGGCTGAGCGCTGAGGCGTCGGCTGCGGCGTGCGAGCGCCGTGACTCGCGGGGGGAGGGGTGCGCGTGACGCCGCCCCGTCTCTCCGCATGGGAGAGCGAGAATAGTTCGCTCGCTCTTCCGTCGGTGCGCTTGGTGAGTTTGAGACGGACACCGCACGGCCGCCTGCTGGGACGCGGGGAGCGCGCCGCACGCCCAGCCGTGTGTCCACGCTTCCTTCCTTATTCCCCCCTCTCGGTTCAGTCGTAGCTTCATCGGCCGGCGTCGGGGCCGTAACGTGGCGCTCGCGTGACCTCGACTGACCTCGCCTGACCTCGCCTGACCTCGCCTGACCTCGCCTGACCTCGCCTGACCTCGCCTGTGTCTTTGCAGGTCGGCTCCGGGCCGGAATGGCCCCGGAGAAACACCCGCGTCCCCTGCGGGAGGCCTCCGAGGACGCCATCGCGTTCGAGGGCCCGGCCGACGCGGACGGCCGGGCCGCCACCCCGGAGTCGGTCCCCCCGCCCCCCCTCCCCGCCAAGAGGAGCGGCAGCCGCGCCGGCTCCTCCGCGTCGGCGTCGCCGAGCGGGTTCGAGGCCGGGCCCGACGCGGCCGCCCCCCACGACCGGCGCGAGACGAAGGGCGAGGAAGGTGAGGGGCACGAGGTGGCGCGGGCGCAGCAGCAGCAGCAGCAGCAGGGCTTGAGCCACACGGACCCGCTGGGCCGCCGCGTGCCCAGGAAGGACAGGGGTGGGGGCGCGCAGCAGGGCCCGCGGCAGCAGCAGCTGTTCAAGTCGCACAGCGTGGAGTGCTCCCCGGTGCACGCGGCCTTCTCCGGCGACGCGACTCCCGAGCGCGGCGCGTCGCCGGCGTCGCGCGGGCGGCGGCTGCCGCACTCCCTCAAGTCGACGTCGCAGGACTCGATTCCCGAGAGCGACGACTCGCTCGCGGACAGCGACGGCTCCCCGTTCCCCGCTCCGGCTCTCGACGCGGCCTACGACGGCCGCGGGCCGCGGCAGCAGCACCCGCGGCAGCCTGGCTCGAAACCCGGCGCGGCCGACGGGAGGGGCGAGGCGGTCGCGCCGGTCGGCGGCGTCTACCGCAACATCGAGAGCTCGGAGGCGGTGTCGGCGCGCATCCTGAGCCTGCAGGCCGAGGCCACGCGCCGCCTCGCCGCAAAGTGCGAGGAGGTGTTTATGCGCGGGTGCGCGGCACGCGTGGGGCTGCGCGAGGAGAGCTGGCCCGACTTCAAGCTGCGCAGCAACAAGCCGTGCTGCGAGGCCGGCGACGGCACCTACTACGCCGCCACGTACGCCAAGGACCCCAACCACGCCTACGCCATCAAGGTGCCGCCGCCACCGTCGCCGCCATCGCCACTATCGCCACCGCCGCTATCACCGCCATCAATGCCACCACCGCCTCCATCACCGTCGCCACCATCACCGCCACCAATGCCACCGCCGCCTCCATCACCGTCGCCACCATCACCGTCACCAATGCCACCGCCGCCTCCATCACCGTCGCCACCATCACTACAGCCACTGGGTTGTTGTCGAAATTGCCTGGAAACTGCATGGGACGGGCACCGCTGTGCGTTGAGTTTTTGCGACCAAAGGCAGCGGAAGGCACGAGTGGCAGCCACAAGGCACTTGGGGGGGGGGGGGATGGCAGAGGGGGGGTGCTGCGAGTCCCTCGTCAGACTCCGCCATGTAGCTCAGCGAGCCTACTGCGTGTCCGGCGCGTGGCCACTGGAGACACTTTCCCCGCGTGTACGGCCGCTCGTACCCCGGCCCTCGCCGTGTTTGTCATCGGCGCGGCCGCTTTCCCTTTGTCCTCGTTGTCCGCGTCGATCTCCGCGTCAATCTCCGCGTCGATCTCCGCGTCGATCTCACCGGTCGGCTCTGAGCAGGTCGTGAGCGGCTCGCAGTCGTCGGTAGGTCGCGAGTTCAAATTCCGGTTGCAGGAGCGCTTAAACGAGTGCCACTTTGTGGGCAAGCGAAGCGACCAGAGCTGAGTGGTCAAGCGACAGAGTTTAGCGCTCCCCAGCTGTCGGTGTGCGGCGGGGCCGTCTGGCGTGGTGAAGGCGTGATTATAAAATCACGCCTTCCTTAATGTTTAAGTGACACGAAAAGAACACTCATCTTTGCCTGCCTGCTCCTCCCGAGGTGAGATTTAACAACGCACAGGTGTGTGCGGCATTGCGATTGCATTCTTAACCGCACCTTTGGCTCAGACCGTTGAGAAGATGCGGCCATCCCAACGCCGTGCGTGTCCCCTCACGGCACACGGGGAAACAACTCTCAAACTCCGGCGACGGCGCGACACGCGACTTGCCGTGCCGCCTCTCGCGGGCGTCGCGCGTCTGCTGCACTAACCGCGCCACCGTCGCGCTCTCTCCCAGGTGTGCAAGGGCCGCGCCGACGCTTCGCGGCGGCAGCTGCAGCAGCAGAGCGCGACGGTGACGCGCGGCGTGCCGGTGCACTACAACATCCAGCAGGAGTGCGGCCACTTCGTCGCCGAGGTGCCGCCCTCACTGCTGCCGCACGGCGAAGACGCCGACGGCGCCGACCCCGGCCGCCTGGTGGTGATCACGCGCGAGGCGCCGCACCGGACGCTGGCCGACCTGGTGAGGACCTCGGCGGAGGAGCACCGCGCCGAGCCCGAGCGCTACGAGCGCCTCGCGAGCCTGCTGCTGCTGCAGTTGTGCGCGGCGCTCGAGCACCTCAAGATGCACGGCGTCACGCACTGCGGCCTGCGCCTCGAGAACCTGCTGCTGGCGCACAGCGGCCGGCCCGGCGACCCCACGCCTCGCCTCGTCCTCAGCAACTTCCTGCAGGCCAAGCAGCAGCAGCAGCCCAAGAACCGGGCTCACCACGACCAGGGCAAGACCGGCGCCAGCCCGCTTGGTGGGTCGGCGCCGCCGGAGCAACTGCGCCTGGCTCCGGAGCTGCTGTCGGCGGCGCAGTACCGCAAGCTGGACGAGTTCCAGACCGGCATCCTCATCTACGAGATGCTGCACCTGCCCAACCCGTTCGAGGACGACCCCGGCCTGCGCGCGTCCGGCTACTCCACCGACGACTTGCCGCCCTTCCTGCGCCTGTCCTGCTACTCGACCGGGCTGCAGCGCCTCGCCTTCCAGCTGCTGCAGCCGGACCCCGCGTCGCGCCTGCCCATCGCGGAGGCTCGCGTCGCGCTGCAGCTGCTGGCGTGGGGGCCCCAGGCCGAGCACCTGACGCGGGAGCTGGGCGGCCCCCGGCCCGACGGCCGCCGGCTGCAGGAGGTGCTGCGGAACTGGCTGGACGTGCGGCGCGCCCTCCTCATGGTGGTCTTCGCGGAGAAGGCGCTGGCGCAGGACGGGCCGGAGGGTGGCGGCGTGAATCTGGAGGACTGGCTCCGCTGCCAGTTTTTCGCCTTCGCGACGGTCAATTGCATGGCCCGCGCGGTGGAGCTGCTGCGGCTGTGCTAGGTTCGCTTTCGGTAAAGAAGCGGTTATTTTTTGAGGGTGTGGGTGGGTGGTGAAATTTATTTCTATTTTGTATGAAGCTGCCGTGCTTAGTAAATGCAGTGGAAAATGGAATTGTTTTACATTTGAAGTTCGAAGATATGATTGTAATAAAGTACTCTTTTTATCTATGAACATTTAATCCTCATCAACCGTCACTGGCGTTACAAACTCGATGACGTCCCGATGACGCGCACCGCGAAACTCGTCACGTCGGAGGGCGGAGGTCAACCGTCGTCTTGCGGTGCCGCCCGGCGCCCGCGATCGTCTCGGCGAGACACCTCCCGGCACTCGCCGTCGGCTCCGTCGCAGGAATCATCGTGGGAGATGGCGGCTTCACATTCGGTCGCGTAATTATTGTCTGTTATTTATGGACACGGCTGGCTCCCGGTGAGAGCGGTCCTCTCACTGGGAGTGCGCTCGTTTCCTCCTGCTCCTCCGCCTGAGTTGTGTTGCTTCATCCTCATCGTAACCGTGAGGGTATAGGCTGGCTGTTGGCCGGCTATTGATCAATGACAGCTTCTGTCTTGTCAAAAAAAAACTTGACGAATACTTTGCACTATTTTGTACAATATTTGAGATTTTGTAAATGTTATTTAAATAATAATCTTTATTTTGTAGGCACTGATTTGCCATTGGGGTCTTGCCACTGATAAAACGCATCTACTGTCCCGTGTCGTGGCAGGGAATGTGCAGCCCCACGGCGCTGTCCCTGGCTCCAGCGTCGCCGTGTCCGTCTCGCGCGACCCCGTAACGTTTGCTTCGATTTTCCCAGAGTAAAGTCCGGCGTATATCATTCGCGCTCCCGTCTCTTGTTTCACGTTCTGCTCGCGTGCCGACTTCTCCTTTGACACCGACGGCGACGCGCGTCGCGGCCTCGCTACTCGTGGCAGAGGTTCACGGTTCAAATCCAGCGGCTGCCCCTGGTTAGTGATGTGGCGTCCGCGTCACAAGGGACGTTAAAGATCCCGTGACGTCATTCGCAAGAGTCGGCCAAATTTGTCCAATTTGAAGATGAGACCGCCCAGCGACCCGATTGGGATTCCCACACGGCAGTCGTCGCCACCCAACTGCAGCATCCTCCTGAGAGAGTGACGAGACTCGGTGAGGCTCTGCTGAGTCGACGAGCGTAGTTGTACTTGTGTGGTGGTAATGATAATCTTGACGTGACCGATGATGCGATCAGTGATGTCGTACGTGGATGAGACGCGCGCTCCGAGCTCGAACGCCCGGTAACGGCGCCGCTTGCTCTCTGGTCGGTGGCGATGGTAGCCGATGGCTCGGTCGTCTCGCTGTATCGAGGCGAGACGGTGCCACGTACCTGGTGATTACAATTCAGCCCAGTTGCTGTAGTAATGATGATAATGTGGATGTGCACATCATAATAATAGAGAGGGTCCTTGTCTAAGCATCCAGAGGTTCCCCAGCATTGCTTTAAGCAACCCTGACTGAATGTTGAAACCAGTGGAGGGTTCGTTTTCGTGTTTGAACCAGTACTGCTGAAAAATTGTCACTCCCAGAAGGCTGTGTGTCCGATGGGATGTCTAAAGCGATACTTACTTTATTTTACTTAAAGTAAGTATCGCTATTGGAAAGATTAATCTTGGCTGGTTATTTATGTTGTTACTCATACAAGTGCACAACTACACTTATGACTTTGTAGTCGCAATAAGTTGTGAACAGTAACAGCTGTCACCCACCACTAAGTGGCGATGATGTCAGCATGACGCACGTGTCTGGAGAGGTGTGTGAGTGAGCTCACACGAGCGGTCAGGGTTTATCGGCACGGCGTAATGGCTTGGGGGACTCGGGCGCCTTGGTAATTGTAGAAAATGGGCCACCTGCCAAGCCCCTTGGCAGTGCGAGCTGCGCTGTCTCCTCGTTAGTTTGAGCATCACTCTTCCGTCTCCTGCTGCTGCAACAATATCCACCTCGGATCCACAGCAACGTCGCTCGCGAGCCTCCTCCACAGAGGCCGAATGTCGGTGCGAGGCGCATGCAGATCCCCGCCCTCTACCATGTCGGTCCACCTGTCTTACAACCAATGAATCTTATGTGCCAATATCGCCCAATATAAAGTAGGCATAGGTGCATGTTGACGCAGAACAGCAACGCTGCACTAGCGTGCCCCCTCTCCCTGCTAACACGGTTGCCACTAGTGCGGGAATTAATGTGTTCCCAGATCTGGTGGCATCGTGTTGAACTGTATTCCAGTCCACGACGTAGTTGTGACAGACTTACAGACTGGCTGAGAAATGCATCGGGGTTTGATCTTCAGTGGGAAAGGTAGCGGCCACCCGACTGAGCAGCCTCCATGAACGAGTCCACGAATGCCGGCGTGGGTGTGGGGCCGGGCCACCTGGGATGGTGTCCCCGTGACCTCTGTGACCCACGGCTGCACGCCGCCGTCGTCGAGGTAATGGTCGGCATCGTGGCAGCACGGTCCGTGTCCCCTTGCCACCACGGACAAGCTCGGCCACCTCGCCGTGGAGACAAACGCAGCTGCCCTCGGCCACTCGTCGCACCGGCCCGCCGGCTCTCCCCGCCCTCGCACACCACTCCAGGAGCAACCCTCATGCCGAACACTTAGCCCGCACCCTCTAATCCTAAACCCCGACCCCGAAATCCTCAAGCATACGCCCGTACACTACGCATGCAACAAAGCAAAAAATTTAACCGAAATTCAAGGGAGGTCTGTGATTGGATGGAAATGAGATCTATGATGGGATACAAATCTCTCGGGGACCGTGACTCGCCATGAGTCTTCGTGTGCCTCCTCTGCCCAGCCCGGCAGGAAGCGGCTGCAGTGGCGATGGAGGAGATGGGGCGGGCGAGAGGCGCTCGGTGCAGCCCCGTCCCCTCCACGCCGTCCGAGTCCCTTCCACTTTAAATCGCTCGTTCGTCCGTTCGTGTCGAACGTGCGCCCGTGCAAGACGTGCCACGGGCACCAAGTCTCCTCGCGAACACGGGAAGCGCGAAATCGACAGACGGAACACGCCGATAGCTCGTGACCTGCGCCTTTATTCCCGTTCGCCACCAGCAGGGACCGGCCACACACCGCCAGCGTCTCTGTTGCGGTCACAGCAAGTGCATCAGGAAGCCAGCAAGTGGATCGCCATACTAAACTTCCCATCGTAAGCTTATCCCATCATACGAAAGAAGAAGATGAGGATCAAAGCAGTAGACTAGTGAGCAACGCCAAACATCTTTTTATTTCTGGTGAAATCCAGCCGTAATGAATTATTATTACACGGCTGCAATCGTGGAACGGAGCGCATGGGCTCCGGCTACCGCCGCGGCCGCTGCCGCTGCTTCCTCCGGGAGCGTTGACGGCGCTGTTTGCCTGGGGACGAGCAGCACCGCGAGGAGGCAGAGCAGCAGGGGGACGAGGCCGTGCGTGCAGCGCGTGACGAGCACGAGTCCCCCGCGCTGCCCCCGGAACTCTGCGAGCAGCAGCACGAACGCGAACGTCGCCTGCGTCCAGAGCCACGCGGCCGCGCGGCACGGCCAAGAGCGGCGCCAGCGCGGCGCCAGCGCGGCCCGCACGCGCCGATCGGCCTCCACGCCGAGCGCCCACACGGCCATGGCCGCGCAGTGGCCCGGGTGCAGGCCGTGCCACAGCGCCGAGAAGGCGAAGGTGGCGGCCAGCGGGTGGCGGGGCGAGCGCGCGAAGGCCACGCGGCGCAGCCACAGCGCGGCCGTGCGGTTCCACGTGCGTGCCAGGGCGGACATGCGGCACGCGCCCTCCAGGGCGCACGCGTCCAGGTCCCACAGCTCGTCCCACTGGCCGCCGCCGCCGCCCCCCGCCCGTCCGGGCCGCGGCGGCGGCGGCGGCGGCGGCGCCGCGGCCGCCCCCCCCGGGGGCTCGGCCGACGAGGTCCGCGATCCCGACGCGTGCGACTCGCGTAGCGCGGCCCTCGCGGCGTCCGCCGCGTCTCCTCTCGGACGGGCCGCCGTCTCCCCCTCGAGTCCCCGCGGCCTCCGTGCCAGCGGCCCGCCCCACGCGGCGGCCGCGCTGCCGCCGGGCGGCCCCACGCCCGGACCGGCGTCGTCGTCGTCGTCGGCGCGCCGCCTCCTCCTGTAGCCCAGGCCCGCGGCGACGGTCAGGGACTCCCCCAGGAGCCACTGGGTGTAGTAGCACAGCCTGATGGCCAGGGCTGTTTCCCACAGCAGCCACATTCTCTGCAGGAAGGACGTCCTCAGCATGAAGTCGCGTTCGTCGCGAAAGGCGGGCTCCCAGTGGCACAAGCAGCGCGCCAGGAGCCACCCCCTGAGCGCGTCCAGGGGGAAGAACGCGGCGAGTTTCTTGCACACGCAGCGGCTCGGATTCAGGTCGCGGTTTACATCGGAATCGGCGCCTTCCACGTAATCCACAAAGTCGCAAAAGGAGCAGTGCGGGCCGCCCAGGATGACGGGGAAGTAGAGGAGGTAGGCGAGGTGCTGGAGAGCCGCGGGGTGGCCTCCGTGGCGCAGGGTCCGGCGCTCTTGGACGTCGAGAGCGAGGGACGTGACCCGCTGCGTGAGCAGCATCAGGCTGGGCATGACCAGGGCGTGCCTGCAGGACAGCACGCACAGCATGGCCGCATTCAACAAACCGCTCTATTTATTTCAAAAGAAACTCCTTAAAAAAAGTTTTTTTTAAAACAACGTTTTTATTAACAACTTCATTTAACTGACGTTCGAGAAGGACGTCAATGGCGCCTGAGACACGCGGCGCCTGCGTTTTGTGCGAGCCGATTGCACAGTTTAGTGACCGCGGTGTTTTTGACGTCCACAAATATATATAATTTATAAGCCGTCCATACAAAAATTGTAATTGCTTGAAAGGAGGCAATTAATTGATGAATTGATGCCGATTTTCTTACAGGCATGCATTGTCACCGGATCTGAGTACGTGTGCAAAATTTGGAATTGATCGGACAACAGGAAGTAGACTTAAGTTTTGATTACAATATTTTACCACGACAAACGCAGCCGAAGTTAAATAAAACCGTTGAAAAGTACTTTATTCAGGAGTGAGCGATTGCAGCTTAAGTCTCCCTCTGTACACCACATGCGTACGTATATTGAACTTCTTTTGCACCACACGTAGCCAACCGTGCGAATCGGAGGTGCCGCTTGCGAGGTCGAGGAATTTAGAAAATGTATCAAAAGCCTCGTTGATTAAATTCACTCGACAAGGTGAGGCTCAGGAACGAGGCACCGAGCAGATGAGGATCGTCTCCCCCCACGAGACGCCGCAATGCAACTCGCGTGCCAGCAACCTTGGATAATACAAAGTCGTTTTTTTCCCTAACACCTAACACCAGTGAGGTTTTGCTTGCCATTTACATTGAGTTTAGATCAGTGAATGTGCAGGAGTGAGGCTGTGGCACTGCGGGACTGTGGGACGTGGAGGCCTTCATCCAGCAGTGGATTGACAATGCCCGACGATCGATGATGACGATGGGATTGTAAAGGTCATTTACCCCGCATTGTCCGTGTCCACGCCATGCTGCTGCCATAAGAACACGTGGAGGTGGCACAGCAGTTGCCACGCCATCTGCAGCACCAGCGTGCGGCGAAAGAGGACTGCTGGTGGCACGCAGCGCGTCAGCGCCACGGAGCCGGCGGCCGGGAGGAGCACGAGGGACGCGGAGGCTCCGAAGGAGGCGAGCAGCACGGCCAGGCCCCCGGCGAGCAGCAGCAAATACCTGCAGGCAGGGAGAGAGAGCAGCGGAGTCCAGCATCGCAAGGGCAAGATGAGCTACAAGGTGGAGAGAGATCAGTGTGACTCGTCACGCTGGTGCCACCACACATCGCCATTGCTTCCTTTCGTTTGATTCCGAAGCTGTAAAATCAACACCGGGTCTCCAAAGTTCATTCTTTCAAGCTCATCACGGTCGTCAACCTCATCACCACCACCATCAGGTTCGAGGTCGTCCCCTGGGCCACTGCCCTCTGGGTGCCACTTTAATTCCTGCCTCAGCAACCCGAGGGAAGGTTAAATATTAAAAATGCCCAATGTGGCTCCATGGTCCCAACAGCCAACACTTTACGATTCAGGCATCACAATAGTGACCCAAAGTATCCCGCGTGATTCTTCACCTGCGGCTCACCTGGCCTCTCAGCGACTCACCTGGGCGTGAGCACGAGCCGTCGGGAGCATGGCCCATGAGCAGGTTTTCGTGACCTCTGCGCAAAAGTTTTTCGCTTTAAACTTACATTTCACCGAGTGTTTTTACGATCTAGAGCTATTATTGTAATTTCCCTGGACTCCTCATTGAAGCCGCGAGGCTCGTCTCCAACAGAGTTCGAGCTATTTGGTGTCCAGCAGCCACTGCCCTCCCAGACCAATAAGCGCCCCGACGTAACAGCAGGAGCTGCTGCGGTGTCACAGCGAGCACACGTGGCACAGTTTCGACATTCTCAGTCTCGTTGACAGTACAAGCAATAATCAGCAGTCATGCTTGTTAAACACATTCTGCTGGATTACCATCCATATGTTATTGGCAATGACACTCTGTGTAGCAAACGGGCACCCCTTCACCGCAAAGAGCAATACCGCACACACAACTTATGATGCCTCGTGAAGTCTTGTGTAGTCTTAAGTATAAGTACAGAGAGGCTGATCCGAGTCTCCTATACCTTCAGACTTTTCAGATTTTAACAACTAGCACTCGTAAAGAGCACTCGGCGCCTGTGCATATGCAAAACACCATCAACATTTCCTGTAGAACTTTTTTTTGGTCTTTCTGGATCACCATCAAAATACATTTCGGCAAATATGACCGAGTGACAGTAGCAGCAGAAGCAGCGACACGGTGGCCTAGTTTCGTTCTTATGCGGACTCATCAGCACAGTACGGTCACTGCTGTCCTACCTTAGCTGGATCGAGATGCGCCGCCTGACCACCAGCCTCTGATACAGCAGGGCCACGGGCACGAGGGACAGCTGGAGGAGTGTTGTCTGGTACAGCTGCTCGTAGTAGCAGGACACCATCTCCTCCGCCTTGAGCCACAGGGAATGGTTCATGGTCCAGCCGCTCCCGGCACCACCACTGCCCTGACGATCAGGGGGCCGACTTGTGGAGTTGGGCCACTCGCCGTGAAACACCGCGGCTGTGTGCTCCACGCGTCCAAGCGACGGCGGAGACGCTGGATGGGGATGACGGAACGGATCTTCGCGAGACGACTAGACGCACGCTGAGCGGGCCAGCCTCTTGCAAGTGGCCACACATGAACGGTGGGGGACTGGTGGGAGGAGGAGGAGGAGGAGAGGGGGGCAGGCGGCCTCTGTTGGTTGGCAACAGAGACGGCGCAGATGGCCACGCTCGGGGGCAGTCTCCTGTGTGCGCACACCGCACGGGCCCGCGTGGGTCGTTAATGGTCGCGCAGGGCCTCGCAACTTGGGCGCGTGGCCCTCGGCAGGGGCGGCGCGCTGTGGATGGAGACCGCGCCATGGCTACACTTGGAATGCTTCGCTCGGAGCCCAATAAAACTCTCAGAGTATCCCCCTGCTCACACGAAGCTTGCAGCTGTGCTCAGATTATTATCATCGCGGTTGTGCTTGTTTAGCCCAGGAAAACCTCACGGAGTCTTGACTCTTTTTCAGGAGGGTCCTGATAAGTGTTCGCAGGACGGTGATTGATGCTGCTGCTGCTGTGTATGATCCCAGTTAAGTACTCTGCCGGTAGTGTTTCAAGTTTGGTCAATTTATATCGTGAGATCGGCACTTCACGGCCTACGAGCAATTTGACTGTTGCACAAATCACGGCCGTGCCGAGATTTGTGAATACAGCTCTGGTTTCGGCAGTGCCGATGTCCAAGGGTCTTTAAGGTCCCCGCCGCAGTGACACGCACACACAGGGGTGGCGACGCACGTGTGTGGCGAGCAGTCTCGGATGAATCGGCTGCACGGGGAGTTTGTTGGCACAGTCGAGAGAGACGAGAGTGCAGCATCAGCGCGACAGTCGGACACTGTGTCTGGGATTGAACCTTCACACGTAGTAGGCTTTCGCGACCAATAGTATCCACAACTACTATCCATCGCAACGCTTTATTTTGGGTTAGATCGCGTAGAAATGTGTCGTTAAACCAGCCATCATCCGCAGTAAGGTTTGTCACGTAATCGAAACGTGCCAATTCATTACTACTTAAGCACACCGGTGTGTTGGACAGTAAACCCACAACATTTACAATTCGAGTACGACGTTTCGCTGGTGATTATAACAACCAGCTTCATCAGGCGATTAGCCACAATTGTGAGGAATTCTTCTTCTGGGATTGAACTCTGTGGGATTGAACTCTGTGGGATTGAACTCTGTGGGATTGAACTCTGGGATTGAACTCTGTGGTATTGAACTCTGTGGGATTGAACTCGGTGGGCTCGCGTCTCGCGTGCCGCTGGAGGCGGCTCCCCCCTCGTGCCGGGAGTCGTTGAGAGGGGACCAAGGGAGAGAGAAGCGGGGGCCTGGCTTTGATTTCTGTGTTCATGTTTAGCTGGGGAAGAGAGTCAACGAGGGAGGGAGGGCGTCATGGGCAGAGGGAGGAGGAGAGGAGAAAGTTCGAGGCCCAACTGAGACACAGGGCAGCGTCTCTGCTGCATCGTGCAGGCCCCAGGCGACTCCAGGCGGAGGGAGCAGCAGCGAGATGAAGCGACCCCCCGCTGGGCGCGGGGGTATTGATGAAGAACAATAGATTCAAACACCAAATACATACCTATTGCAAGGCATCAATTCTGCATTAACATGCTTGTGACAATACATGCAAATAAAACAAGCTCTTTTAATTATATTTGCAAAAATGTCCCATCGATACGGGGGGTAATTGTGGGTTGTCGACCGGCGAAGCGCCTCGCCGTGAAATGTTCCCACGTGGCCAGCAGAGGGCACTGCACCCCCGAGTCACCACCCAGAGCAGTAATTCCACTATGTAACACAATGTTTGTTCCTGGGTACTAAGTGTTATTATTACACGCTTTTTATTTAACTCACTCTGTTGTCGTTGTATCCTCAAATCTTGTAACTACATTTTTACCCACTTCCCAATGTGGTATCGACTGCAAACTTGGTATACTTATGTCATACTGATGACAATACTATATTCTATCATTAAAAATAAAAATAAAACATTTAAAAACATTATTTTGTATATGTTATGTTTCGGCTTGGGTCTAATTGTCCACGCTCAACTAACGTTGGCTGTAAATCACCACGGTTCTTTACGTTGTGGCAAACTTCGCGGCCACTTCCTGGAGTTCTTCCATTACTTGTACGGTACATTTAATTAAAGCGTGTTTTTTAAAAAGTGTGTTTAAATATTACTTGTTTTTTTATTGCTTATACCTAAAAAGTACAGAAAATCGCTATTATTCCCCACAAACTTTGCTTTTGTGACCAGGACTTTATGTGAACGAAAGACACAAATGCACACCACGTTTTCTCGTTGAAAATAAGTACATTTCAAAATATAATTGTCCTGGTCACAAAAGAAAAGTGTGTGTGGAATAATAGGCATTGTCTGTACTTTTGAGGCATTAGCAATTAGGAAATAACACTTATTACACAGGAACAAAAAAAATTGTTGTTTTTTGTTACACAATGTTCTTCTCAACGTCGTTGGCAGTCGGCCCACAGTCAAGACCCCTGCCCGTAATCCCACCGGTTACGAAGGCCACAACACACACGCACACCACAGAGTTAGATCAGCAATGCGCCTCCTTAATCTGCTACCGGATAAACATGCTGATTTCCCATGAAGTGCTTCACTGGAGGCAAAGGTGACCCCTGACCAGTATTTGAACTCTCAACGTTTCCATTGTGGTCTGGGTGTAGTGCCACAGTGCCCTCTGGCTGGCTAACATGGCATAACTAAAAATGACAAGTTTTACGAGAGAATACAAAGACTGAAATAATAGCAACTGCTATTGGTCCAGCAACAGCAAGCGTCGCAAACCCACAGAGCCCATGAACAACAGCAGCAGCAGCAGAGCCTGTTGACATATGCCCTCACTGAGAGCGACATTGACTCAAAAAAATCTCAATACATTTTGCGGAAAGCTTGCTTTTACAAAACGTCCCTGTCACCTGTCCACCTCTTGCTGGCGCGTATTACCTTGGATCCCATACAGGACATTATTCACGTAACCTCGCAAGCCCTGAAGCGCTAATATCAGAGCACTGCCGAATACAACCTTCCCTGTGGGGCCCTCATCACTGAGCTTTTGTACTGAGGCAGTGCTCAACTCTGTTAATGGTCAGCATCTTGTGGTGTAAATTCCACATACTCTTGGCAAGGGACAGTCTTTTGTCAAACATTAACTCCGCAAAGTGATCTTGATTTTTATCAGCCCAGACGGATGATGCGCTGAGACGGCCCTTGACTGGAATTTAAAATCGCAAATTTACGATTGTGAGTTCAGTCTTCTGACCACCGAGGGCAGTGAGGTCCCAGACGGGATGTGATAAAAAAAAATCAACACGTCAAGTAATTGGTGTTCACCCAGGAGCGTAGTAGAGCCCCCTGTTCAGCTTCTGGTAGTTGTTCTGCTCTGACATGCAGCGCAGGCACTGTGTGTCCTGCCTTTATCCCAGGAACATCTCTATGGTAACCTCATTTTAAAAATACTCTCGGCTATAACAACATGATTTCTGGTGCAAATTGCCCAGAACCACGAGAAACAATGCCGTAGGTTGTATTGAATGGCGTCATTGCGTATTTGTGCATACCGTGGTGACAGGGTGATTGATGTTCACCTCACCCGTTTTACACAGCCCAATTAACAATGTGGCACTGTTGTGTCGAACCCAAGAGCCCCATCGCATGATACATTTTGAGCATACAGCTTTTAATGGACAAATAACATTGTATTGTGTGCATAGCATTATGGTGTGCGGCGCAGCGGTTCGTGTATGCTTTCCCCACTTGCTGTTTGCTAAAGCAGAGAACATATTTCATTAAACAGTTCTCATCAAATATCAATGATCCGACTAAATAAAACATGCTTGTGTTTTTTTCCACTGACGGTGCAACCCACCACCATTTGTGTGGTCAAAGGGAGACGCTGCGAGGCTGCCCACATTTGGTGTTAGTGCAGCCCAGCGATGTTTCATATTAGTGGTCTCAAACGTTAGATAACGAGATATGCATTATCGCCGACCTCGAATTCGCTCTCGTGTGTGGCTGGTGTCGGTCAGATTATGGGCTGAGTCTTCACTATTGGTTTCCGTGGCAACCACAGGCTCATCATCTCAGTCATAAGGGTTTCGGGCCTGAATTTATATCACACAATTAGAGCGTTGCATTCACTGATGGGGTCGATCATCATTATTATTGGCCACCAATTGTCTTGTGAATTTTAAACAACAATGTGTACATGTCAAGGTGGGTAATGAATGTGTTGTAGGCTACATGTGTACTGTATGGGACATATCTTTAAATTTGGTTTAAAAATTGGTGTACTGTACATGTATAACGAGTTATTGAGTTCTCGTGAATGGTCTGTAGATTGAATTGTCATATTTCAAGAAGATTATATGTCTAGAAACTGTAAGCTGTGACCTAGACTGGCATTTTCTCTAGTAAATTTTAAACATGTGGCCGATTGCATAACAAACCATGAGGGTAATACCCTCAGCTTGTTATTTATAGCAACACAACGAGGAAAAAGACGTCTCTAAATGTTTTATACAACCAGCCACTGAATTGAAAAACATCAATTATATAATGCCATATCTCACAGCATCACACATACACTCCTGTGTCAATCCACTGCTGGATGAATGCCTGGATGTCAACTTTTACACCAACATATATTTCCTTTAGGTTACATAAAACCGATTGCTTCTTTTATTGGAAGAAAGTTGACAAGTCTAGGCAGTTGTAAGTTTATAATGCCGCGTCAATGGGGTCGGCAGCAGATCCCACCTCGGAATGAAGGGGACTGGTTTGGCCTGTGCAGATAATGCGACAATTCAACAGCTCATTGTTTATCACACGAACAAGTGTTGCCCAAGCACATTCTGAGAGGATATTTGTGGAAGTTTCCTGTGGGTTTTTGTGTGTTCACAGGGAAGTGGGTATATTCATCAGTGGCACTGTTGACCAGAGCTGACAGTATAACGCCAAGCCATACTGTCATTTTGAAATATCTCAATCCACATCCTCCCTACTTAGGGGTATTGCATGTAGCTTGAACTACTTTCGCACCGTACGTAGCCAAGAGCTTCACGCACAGGCTTAGAGGACCTCATTTGGAACTACAGTCCAACTTAGAGCACGTCAATTCTATCTCCAAGGTGAGATGTTATCTTACTCGCCTGGTACACAAGAGGCCGTGGGTTCGACCCCTGACCCTGACAATGCCTCTTTTATATTTGTAGTTCGCGTGTTCCTCTCTCTCTCCGTGGTCACGTAGATTTTTCTCCGGGTCCTCTGTATTTAGATACATGCCTGTAGATCATTGGCAACTATACATTCCCACATAAGCCGGGTTGCCCCTGAAAAATAGCTAATAGCTCAGTGGGCTTTACCTTGTAAAATAAAATATTAGTTTAGAGCAGGCGCACCGATCACGGGTGGGTAGAAGGCCACTCAGCAGTTGAATAGTGGGAAATTAAACCAAACAAGCCACAGTGGTGCGATTGTGACCGTGCAACCCAAACTAATGACCATATTGTAAACCACTGCACTATGTATTCATCCTATTGAGGAGTAACAGCATAACGACACCCACCCTCTCCTGATGCCCTCTCGTCGTGGCTGGCAGACCTCAACACTGGCATCTCGCTCCTGAAAATATCGCGACAATACGCAAGAATATTAGATAGACAAGGGCCTGCACGTGAACAATGTTGTCACCTTGAGCCATTGTTGTGAATGTGTGGGTTGGGGAATGTGCTCCGCTTACACATTGCTGTGTATAGTACGGGGGGGGGGGGGGGGGGGGTGTTCATTGTGAACAAGCGAGTCGTGTGGCTGCCACGTGAGATGGCCGCTGGCTGTGACTCCTTCTAAACCCGAGTCCGTCACTCGCTGCAGAGACAACCACGTCGAGCGTCGTTTGTCGCCATAATCTCTCAGCAGACGCCTGCCAAGTAGCGGCGTGGCGAGGTTGACATCGCTGTGGCCCTCATCAACAACAGCAGCCGCGCTGTGCGTCTGTGTCCCTCTCTCGGTTCAGCCGTCCGCCCATCTCAGCGGCCATTCTCCCACACTGTCAGCCCATCTACGCCAGTCCCAGCCCATCGATCCGTTCGTCTGCCTGTCTCACGCGTTCAACCGTCTGTATACCTGTTCACTTGTCCCTATCATCGTCTAGTTTTATATCAAATCGTCTACGCTTTCACTTGTCTAACCATTCAATCGTCTCTACCTTCAATTATTTACCTTTTCACTCGTCTATCCGCCTGTCTGTCCACCCGCCTGTCCACCTATCTGTCCACCCGCCTGTCCACTCGCTTGTCCACCCGCCCATGTACCCGGCGTCTGTGGCTGTTCCTCCCCTTCGCCCCCCCCCCCCCCCGTTACCATGACCCCCTCCCCCAAGTCTCTCCGCCCGACAACAGCCGAGCGGCAGCGTACCGAGCGCGCCGATTGGCTCGCGTTTTGGTGTGGCGCGATCCCATTGGCTGCGGCGTGCCGCGCGGGGGTGTGGCGCGGCTATTTTTAACCCCGAACGCCGCGGGGGAGGGGCAGCTACAGTCGACTCTCAATCCCGCCCGGGACCCCTCTAGGTTCACTCAGCCTCGACAGATTAATATCCATCGTACATTAAAAGCACGTGAACATCACACCGAATATGCATTTCAGTGTATTGTATTTGTATGCGCACAACAGCCTGCGTTATTTAAATCCTGCTCTTTAGTCCAGGTCTCCCTTGCAAAAAGATGCGTATGCTTTATCAATTGTGGCACATGAAGAGTTAGTTTTCACATTGTCACCGAGACGTGGCCTGGCGTGACTGCCCACAACTACCCTCTCGTTTGATGGATGACCTTTGAAACAAGGTTAGATTTTTGCCCACAGGACGTTTGGAGTAATAGTCACGCGTGGAACTCGCGTTATTTCTGTGATTGTGCTGTGGGATTTTCCACTCGGCCCCATTCTCCCTGCCAGAGCCCGTGACGAGGTGTTGCAGATTTGTAATCACAACTAAAACCTCAAATGAAGCTTCAGTGGCACCACAATCGTGCAATAACCATATCGATCCACACTCCAGCAGTGTGAACATTTGGGTCTCCATTTAACTGCGGTAAATCCCACAGAACCGTAGTAACGTTCTGACCCGACCCTACAAGGCGTGTTAAAAATAGCTTTATAGTCCAGATTCACAATCAAACACCTCCGCTGACAATCCTTAGTTATAAAAGCAAACGTACTCCTTTCTTTAGGCGGTGTGAATGACTCAAGACTGCAGTACAGCACCCGTCCCCCAAGCCGGGATTCCTGCATATGTTGCTGGTGAGCGCATGCAGCAGTGTGCTCGGTCACAGCCACCGCGGATTCAAGCCCCTCCAGGTACTTTTTGGTTCTATTGGCTTAAAGTAACGTAGGTAAAAAAACTAAAATAACAAAAATCACGACGTTTCAGCCACAACACAAGCGGCCTTCATCAGGTGAAGGGACGAGACTGTCTGGAGGACAGCGCTGTCCTCCAGACTTTACCCAATAGAACCAAAGAGTATGGATCCTTGCAGTCATGAAAGCTTTAAACCCCATCCAGGTAGTCCACGTTTTGCAGGCTGGAAAATAACTTAGTGCACATTCCAGTTGAGGGTACACGTGAACATAATCACCTCCACAAGAGACCTTGTTATTTATCTTTATTGTCAAGATTTTTTTCCATATAAAGACAAATCACAGAAGAGATCAATATGCTGGGAATAACAGGTTATAAATTTAAACAGAAACATTATCTAAAGATGAAAGCAAGTGTGTTGCTAAACAGATGTATTTAATTACCCAAAGCAGGCCATGTTTAATTATCCAGATGTTATCTACTGGGTTCATGCATTTACTAAATCAACACAAAGCAAGCCAATGTATCAGAAATGGTGTTATAACAAACACTGCCCAACTAGCACAGCTGACCTTTTTAAAAAGGAAATAAATACAAAGCTATTTATGAACACAAGAGAAATTTAAAACACATTAGTCACAAATAGCACTGGTTAATGACAATTATGAAGCAAAACTAAAAGAGCTGAACTCCCGGAATTACTAATGGCATTTTAAAAGACGTCAACTTTCATTCTTCATCAGAGGATGGGCAACGATCAATGGAGTATGCCATGAAGAGAACGTCAGGCCTGTTGGGGGCGATGGGATGGCCTGGTTTCACAGTCTCAAAGCCCAGATAGTTGAATATACGCATCATGGAGGCTGCAAGGGGAAACCAACAATGAACATTAATAACATCATAGCACAAAACCGGAACACAATTCCAAGATACAACAAACATTGAAATCCCAAGTGAGCACGGGTCCATTAATTACCTCTATCTTCACGATTACGGTAGAAGCAGACGATGACGTGGTCCACAGAAAACTTTTCTTCAGCGTGTTCTAGTAAAATTGAAAAGCTGCAGGGAGAGAAAAGGGAAACATCAAATTCACCTTCAGGAATTGTGGCAGACGTGGCACATATTACCAAATAGTCCAACTACTGCTCCTGGGGAATTTGCACAAGCTTGTGGAACCTACCTGGAGATTGTCTGATTACACACCACAATCCGTTCATTTGTTCACAATGCAATCTAAAGTTACATAAGCAAATCGTGTAACCGTACAAAGCGAGTGGACAGAAACACTGCATTATCTCGCACCACAATGTATTAAAAGCTTTTTTGGTGAAAGGCTTGGTCTTTTAATGATGCATCCATTCAAGAGTAAAATTAATTATACACTCATGATGCATGCATAGTGTAATATAATTGGAGACTTTCTTTTCATGCAGATTAAATATGCCAATGTTGAATTTGGTTATCAAGTTAGAGGACAATACATGCATACATCATAAATTGTCATTCAATTAAGACCTCAAATTGTGACAATTCAAAGAGCAAAAAGGGCAGATGGTGATGCATTTTGGCATTCCTAGTTCTTTCATAACTGTTGAAATTGTATAATCAGTGCTATCACTCCAAAATTAACTTTCGATGCAATAAATGTAAACTGTTGCAGTGTTCGTACAACGTTCTTGCTCCTGTGGGCACTGGCTTTTGGCAACGATGGCACATGCATGCACCCTCCGGATCACCGTACCTCTCTTTGCTGCCCTCTGGCAGGCTGCCCTGTGGAATCTCCAAGAACAGGTTGTTGTTGCTGAGCACCGCGTCCCACTGCACGGTGCGACAGTCACCGACTTTTGTCTGGAAGTGCCAGACACTGGGCTTGCCATTGGCGGGTGGGTCCCGCATGACAATGAGCCGATCATCCTTGAGGACAGAAAAATGGTGCCATATTAGCATCTAATACAAATGGTCAACATTCAATATCGGTGCAAAGATATCGTCTACAAATGATCAGCACAGCTACCGAAGCATGCGCAAGCAGGTGACTGGGCATGTCTGGCCATCAGAACTGCGAAGGCAAATGCAGTGGTGGTGCCGACACCAACCCCGCTAAAATGTCCACATTAAGCCCCTTCTCGTAAAGCTTTCATTTGCGACCAGGTCGCTTCTGAAAAATAGTTGTGTGGCTCAGTGGGCCTTACGCAGTAAAAAACAATTTTCGTTTTTAACTTTGTGTGTAGTCAGGCTTAATAGGTGCTCCTCACATCGTTACCTCTTCAGCCTTTAAAGCCAAATACAAGGGCGATTAGTTCATGCAGCACGAACTTTAAGACAACCCAAAAATCCAACAGTCCTTGTGTATAGATATGTAGGCCATTTGTCGCCCTGTTCACCACAGCGAGAAGTATTGTTAATGAGAAAACCTAAACAGCAATCACCTCATGGCTCTTAAACTCGCATGCTTAATCACAATGCTAATGCAGTGATATTCCTCGAGTGTTATGACCGTGCACATGGATGACTTTGAAGTATGTTTCTCATAAACAAGAGAGTTCTTCTTTTGTATGGTTGATGTAGAAGCAGAGCAACAAACAACAATTTTCACATTTAGGTGGTCAAGCCAGATAACCGCGTCAGGCGTAGTGGAGTGTATCGCTGTGATGTCTCCTTCGTGAAGAGAGATAAACAGAGCGTTATCCACCGAAAAGCACTGCGGCGGCTTGTGTTTATTCAAGGCCATTTCTTACAGTGTAAATAAGAGCTGAGAGATTGTGATCCCCTTCACCATCCCCCCGCCCATCCGGGATCTTCAAAGATGGGTGAGGAACATCAGGAGCACCACCGAGGCCCTGGACCCGGGTGGATACTAAACTGCGAGGTCAGACTGCAAAGAGGAAACAGACATTTGTCACTTGAGCATTTGTGACGCACGTGAAAATACTTAGCACTGCGGCATTTAAAAATGTCAGCTTCCCCGAACCCACACCACTAATTCAGAGCAGCTTCCAAGCATAAGGCAGCTGCCATTTAATACTGCGTGTGGTTTAAAGGCTTTAACATCTACCTACACGTAATGGCGTCCGTACAAACGCAACAATTAAACTATGTTACACATACATGTTGTATTTATCCAATAAACACATCCCTTGGTTGGATCACCCATACAGTCCGAGCTTTATTGTAAAAAGTAGCATCCACTCAATTCTTATCAAATTAACCAGCACCCAGTAGCTGCCGCAAGAGAGGAAATGCTCAGCTTCCTCTCTGCCACACTGTACGGCAACAAACGCACCCATTTATCGTAAACACGTAGTACAGTGCAATTACCACAAACCACCGCCAACGTGCAAAACAAAACCAAGCCAGGGAGTCTCTTGAATTATTCAAAATTAAGACGAGCTCACCATCACTACCGGGTGAGTGGGATGCACAAACGCAATTTATATTCCATTTGCAACCGTGAAGGAGCAGAGCATTGGGGTGGTGAGGAACGAAGAGAGGACTCGGGAAGTCGAATCATGCCCCCCCAGCATTGGGAACCTACCCTGCTGCCAACAACAATTGCGAGTGTAGAAATCAGAATTCCCACACTTTACCCCATCGCCATGAAGCCCTCCCCAACAGAGTTACTGCCTATTCTAGATTTGAAGCTTTCGTGACTGCAAGGATTCATACTTTGTTTTTTTCGGTAAAGTCACGTAGGTAAAATAAAAGATAACTAAATTAAATCACGACGTTTCGGAGGCAACACGAGCTTCTTTCTGTCTTCAGCAAGATAGCTGCAGCTATCCACCTGAAGACGGAAGCTTGTGTTACCACCGAAACGTCGTGATTTAATTTAGTTTTCTTTTATTTAAAATTTTATCTTACCTACGTGACTTTACCGAAAAAACCAAAGAGTATTGAGTTACTGCCGTCTAGCGGCTCTAGCCCATCTGGGGACCCAAATAATGAATGTGCTCAAGAGTGCGACGCTTCTATCTTAAACTGACCGAACCTCATATTCTTAGTTTTTTCGGTAAAGTCACGTTGAAGAGAAACAACAAAATAATAAAATATATATAAAACAATAAAAAAATTCTCACGACGTTTCGACCATAACTCAAACGGTCATCTTCAGGTGTGTCGGTTTGCATAAATTTATTTTTAAACGGCGCATTTATTTATATATTTAAAAAATGTATGCAAACCGACACACCTGAAGATGACCGTTTGAGTTATGGTCGAAACGTCGTGAGAATTTTTTATTGTTTTATATATATATTTTGTTATTTTGTTGTTTCTCTTCAACGTGACTTTACCGAAAAAACTAAGAATATGAATTACTGCAGTCACGAAAGCTTTAAATCAAAATTTTGACCGAACCTCTTCAACTAAAACGTGTTAGTGACTCGCCGGGCACAGGCGGTCTTTGCTCGTCACTGGCAAGTGCGGGTTAATCCCATATTCCTGTACCTAAGGGCCAGTCTTTTCTTCTGACAATCACCATTGACTTCCCACAAAATAAAAACATTGGAGGCATTGTACAAATAACAGTTAAACACAAGCCACAATACTGCACGTATACAATTCTAATTGTGGTTCATGTACCTAGGAAAATAAATTCCCAAGGAGAATGCACTTCGAATGAAACCATCAACATGAAATGTGACCCAAATGTGCTCCGAGTTAAAGAGCAAGTGATTTTTGCACTTGCGGTCGTTAAAATAAACAACACGTTGAACGGATTGCAAAGGTTTTCCATCAGGCAAACGTCAGGCAAAATTATTTTAAACAGGGCCCATCCTGCAGCTAGTCACTGCACGACTGGCCTGGCAGCAACAACGCAGCGTTTACCTTCCACCGACTTAGGGCAGCAGGAAAGGCATCCGTTAGGCAGTCATGTTGGACAGCAGTGGGCGAGGGCGAGAATTATTGGAACGGATCCGAAGAGAACTTTAGGAAAATCGGTTCAATGTCAAGGTTCTCAAGATGGTTCGAAAGACTGCAAGTTTAATCTCACCCATACTGTGTTTAATAACAAATCGCACGGCAGGTCGAACACTTCTCCTTCGCACTGCTGCACTTCGGAATTCCATTCAACATATTTCCCCCAAGCTCCTATGTTGCTTCATAAAAAAACCTGTCAACTGTTATCTATTAGAACGTTGATGGTGCTGCTTAAGTGTATGAGGACGCAGGTGATTGTAATTGGCCGCCTGCGGTGTTTAGGCCTTGCAGGGCTGCCCTAACAGCAACTGAAGAAAATAAACCACAGCGCCATCCCCGGTGCAGTGGGAGCCACGAGAGGCATCGTCACCGCGTCGAGTGGGAGCCCAAAGGGCCTCTCCCCCCACTCTCCCCCACGCGTACGCCAGGCAAGAGATTACATCACCGCCAAGTGGCCCCACACACACACAGATGCCCCACAGTTACGCGAGCAAGGCCTTTCACCGTGCGCCATTATCCCAAAGAAAAAACATTCTCCCTTGCCGACTGGATTCTCGTTACAAATGGAGACCATGGTCACGGAATCTCAGAAATGCGCCCCTCTTTACAAACCACGGCATGGCTGCAGGCTGAGCCAGTGAGTCTCAAGGGCCGGGAGTATTCATTCCGGTATGAAGAGACTGGCCCTAGCCATGTGAATGAGGAATGTCCAACTCCTGGCCTAGGAGCGAGACGGATGAGCGCTGCCTCAAACGTCCGTCTGTCAAGCACGAGCTGCGTGTCGAGACGAGTGGGGATGCACGGCCATCGTGTGGTCACTGTGGAGGTGCGTGTTCTCATCAGGGGAGAGAGAATCCCGACGACGGGATCACGATTCTAGCCATTGACAGATTCTCACGCGGAGACTCTAAAATACTCACAGCCCCACATGTGCAGCTTTATTGCGCTAATGGATGATACACCCTCTGTGTTGAAATCGCGTTAATGACCAAGTTGGGTCCTTTATTAGATAAAGAAACAGTTTAAACACTACTGGTAGTGTAGATTTGCAATGATGTTCATGGGCTCAATGTGTTAATAATCTGCTGGTGCTATTCCGGAAAGCCACTGTGGTGCGCAGATACACCTACAAGTCGTTCAAGCACGATGCCCCGTGGGAATCGTTAGCGCGACTAACGCCGGATCGATTCTCCATTAACCAGCTGACGTCACCGCAAATGCCGCATGGCCTGACGTCACAGCGTAGTAGTGTGACGTCAGCACGTACGGACAATGGCGGCACGGAGGGGGTTTGAGGATGGAGCCAGAGTTCTAGAAGCGTCGCTAGCGGCGACCAACCGCCGCCCCCCCTCCCCCCCGTGCCACCGCCGCCCCTCCCCTCCCCCCCCGTGCCACCGCCGCCCCGCCCCTCCCGTGCCACCACCGCCCCTCCCCTCCCCCCTCGTGCCACCGCCGCCCCTCCCCTCCCCCCTCGTGCCACCGCCCCCCCTCCCCCCCCGTGCCACCGCCCCCCCTCCCCCCCGTGCCACCGCCGCCCCTCCCCCCCCGTGCCACCGCCGCTCCCGTCCCCCCTCCCCCCCCCCGGTGCCACCGCCGCCCCCCCTCCGTGCCACCGCCGCCCCCCCTCCCCCCCCCCGTGCCACCGCCGCCCCCCCTCCCCCCCCCCCGTGCCACCGCCGCCCCTCCGTTGTCACCACAGCTTACCCCTCCCCCCCGTGTCCAGCAGGTTAAACACGGCGGTCAAATGTCAACAAAACTCTACGCGTCAAAACAGCACCACGTGTCAAAAAGAAGCGTCAAGGTCACACGTCAAACACTGTAAAGAGCAGAGTTGCAGTCTGGGCCCCCGGGCCACCCCGGCAGCATCCCTGCTGATGAGTATCGGATGACGAGGAACCGATGGAGGCACCGCCAGCATGAAACAAATGCGGCTGGTAAACTCTTCATGCTGCAGCCTCGCGGCGGAGGTTAAAGGAAGAGTTATTATATGCAGTGCGATCGTAGGGGGGGGGGAGATGCTATATATGTTTTGTTTAAATGTAGCAAATTCTACCCGCAACACCGCCGGCACAATGTCCTCCTCGTTCCTAACTGCGTCACGGGGGTCTTCAACGTCCCCCTCGTGTTTGTGAGGCAGACGGCGCGCGCGCCGTGAGACCTGACAGTTAACGTACCGCATCAAATAACCAGGGCGGCCTGCCGGATTCGAACGCAAATCTTTGTAACAATCGGAGAATGCGCTAGAGCCTAGCCGCGTCACAGCCTCCTTTGTCTCCCCGGAGCCTGGGGAAGGCGTCGCCCCCCCCACCCACCCGCCATTGTCCTCCTTTCTCAAGCAGCAGCAGCAGGCGTCAAGCCAGGGAGGGGGCAGGAGGAGGAACCCTCGTGAATAATATTCACGAAAACCTCAGCTTCCTCTTCGGGCTGAGGAGAGGGGAGGAGCGGCGAGGAAGAGCGAACCACGGCCCTCGAGGCTTCTTCCTCCCTCGCCACACGAGACGCGGCCATTGTTTACCAACAGCCCGACCCTTCCCACCACCGTGGGCACCGCTCACGGCGAAACAACACCACCACGAGGCGGCCACTCGGCACGCCATCTCGGCGATTTAAACCCCCCCCCCTCCTCCCTCATCTCTCACTTCGTGGGCCGAGGTGTGGATATACCCAAGTCTACTCGAGTCGCACACGCCGTGTATAGGCGCAGACGTCAAGGAGCCCTACAAGATGCGAGGTTACCATGGGGGGGGGGCTCCTCGCAAGGCGTCTCGGCGAATCGTGGAGGCCGCGTGCCGCACGGGAAAGCGGGTGGAGCGGTGGTCGCACTGCGCTATGAACAACATCACGACCAACGTCAAGTTGCCGAGTGACATTGCAACCGGTCCTGGGACCCCTTTGTCAACAAATCCGCACCGACGAGTACGGCGAAGTATGGTCAAACCGCCTGTACTACGGACATCGTCGTCTGTTGCCTTCATCCGCAAGTGGATTGGTTAAGGATAGTTTACTGTACGTAATGTTACTTTAGAGAGTCGTGGTGTGGACGAGGTGTAGTGGAGGAGGAGTTCTCACCTCCGCTCTACGGTGAGTCCTGGCATCGTACGACTCCCGTATTTTTCTCTGGCGAAACAGTGGCTGTTCAGTATGCGCTCAACGGAGCTCTTAATCATCCGGCTCCCCGGCTTCCCCGAAGGCCGCTTTCGATTCGCTGTGTGTGTGGCGGTCCCGGCAGGAGAGAGGGAAGAGAGACGAGGAGGAGACGAGGGGGCGTGAAGACTCGCGGGGCGACTCGAACGGAATCAGTGGGGGCGCTGCGCCCTCTTATATAGGCGACGCCTGACGTCACGCAGCTCCATCGCGGATCGATTTCGTAGATTCCCCGCCGCACGTGAAATCGTGAGCGCCGGGTGAATCGATCATTCAGAAATTGAAAACACGATCGTCATCGGCCATGGTCAATCCACTGCTGGATGAAGGCCTCCCCACTCAAGCCCCCGCCGCCGCCACCACCTCTCACGATCCTGCAATGCAATGAGCCACCCGGCACTTGCACGCGCGCTGATCTCATCGCTCCATCTCCGCCAGGGCACTGGCGCGTCCAGATGGCCAGCAGCACACTGCGTACAACTAACACTGAACTGTCTCACATATAAGCAGTTAATCAAAGCGTGAATGCACAGTACTGTATTATAGACTGCAGTGCCACACACAATGATAAGACCCCAAGGAATGCGCTCCCCATCTCATCATCAGACCTCGGGAGCTAGCTTGATAGTGCTGGTGGGATGGGTGACCTCCGTGCATAACAGGTGTTATAGGCTGCTGCCAGGCTACGTTGTAGAGCAGCAGAGGGCACCAACAGGCACTGTCAGCACTGTACTGTTGCTATGGCTGCAGGCCTTGACCAGGTGAAGTATGGTCACACAACAACCCACACGACCTAGGTGCCATCCGTCAGTGGAGCGCCGTCTATGAATAATTGTTGGAGTGTAATAACCACTGGGGGAACGAGCACGAGAATCGCGACGAGAGGCGGATGTTGGACAACGCGAGTCTGGGGTTTTTCCACTCTGCGCTGTTGCCCCACGGGCCCTGCGTGGGGGTGGGGGGTGGGGGGCGCTGCGAATCATCGACGCCCCGACGCCGCCGCCACATCCCACGCGACGATGGAGCCGCCCTGCAGCGGCGACTTCGCCTCAGCGCAGCTGGCTGAGACGGTGCTCCGTACCGATGAGTCCCGGTGATGATGAAACCGGTCCGCGACAGTGTCCGTCTCACTGCCAGTTGGGGGCTCTGACGTCTGCGCGGCAACACGACCACGCAGTTCTTTTTGAGCCGGTGGCCTGGGTAATGCTGATGAGAGATTGTGGTGCAGCAATGCTGCTGTGCCCATCTGTGCGGCGTGAACCCCACGGCGCCCGGTCCCCGTGGCCCTGTCCTCAAAAGCCGCCCACGGATATCGTGGTTCCCATATCCATCAGCCGAGGTGCCACCCTAAATAACAGCTGTATAAGCAGATAATAAAATATACCTTTTATAGAGAAATAGGCACATATCTATCCCTTCAAATAAAACATACAGTAGTATATGTTTACACATGCCAGCATCCACACGGCCCTTTGGGAGTAAATGTTTCACCAGCAGTTGGTTTAACGCAAGACAACTTTAACCCGGCGTCGACATACGGCGTCTCATCAGCAGCGCCGGGCTCGCTGAAACGAACACGCCTGGATCAGCGTGGAAGAGTAGACCAAGTTCCCCCCCGAGATGTCTTAAGAGCGGAGGTTCACTCGGCCACCAGTGTCGTGAGCCCGCAATTGCAGGGCTGCGCCTGCACCCTGCCGCGGCCTGTTCAGCAGCAACAAGCCCCGTGTGGGACGGAAGTCCACGCGCGTGCCAAGCGGTCATTGCGTTCATTGCACACAACAAGTCGCACCGACATCTGTAACCGGTTCCTAAGCATCGATCCCGAAACCGGTTACCGGTTCAGCGGCTGTTAGATCTCGCCGCGCTCTCGCCGCATCCCGCCCGGCACAGCGCGTCACCGGGTGACATGGCGGACCTGGCGTCGAAGCAGCTCCTGCCCAAGAGGTGAGAGAGAGTGGTGGGTGAAGAGAATGGAATGAGTGAGGAGAGGGAGGTGAGGAGAGTGAGAGGGAGGTGAGGAGGGTGAGGTGAGGAGAGGGAGGTGAGGAGAGGGAGGTGAGGAGGATGGAGCGCACCGAGGCGGCGCCGCTACGCGGGCGCCCGTGGGGCCCAGGGGCGCCGCGGGCCCCGAGGCCCAGGCCTAGAGCTCGCGGCCTCTCACGCAGTAACCACAAAGACAAAGATCCCCCGCGTAGTCTGGACACACTGTAGGGGGCAAGTGCTGTTAGCGAGCAGTGGCTATGAAGGCCGGCGCGGCACACGAGGCGGTGGGTGGCCAGCACCACGCCCGGCCGCCTTTGTCTCCCTAGTGGCGATATTTACACACCGCACCGGGTACTCATTTGAGGCTGAGTCGACCTAGGGGATGCGCAGGTACCGGTTCAGATAATCGTCACTGATGTTGGTGGCCGTGAGTTGGAATCGAACTCTGTACCACAGCCATTGTACCATCATCAACGACAACAACGACAACAACACAGGGGCACACAGTACTACGGCTGTGTGTTACCGCAGTTGACTGGCGTGGCTCCCGTGCTAAGGGCGTTGCACACCCGAATCCATCCACGTGTTTGGCCATGTCGGGTGGTGGTGGGATTCACGACAACAACCTGGCTGGAGCATTACGAGGCAGGACCAATAAATAGATCAAGTACAGCGTGAATGAAGATTCCCTGAAATGATGGTCTTAGTTGTGGGGCATTTTAATCGGTGCCTCGGTGAAGGCGAGTTCAGGCCGCCCCCATTCTCGGTTAGTTGCGGGCGTTTGTTGTAACAAGCAGACGGAGTCGCAGGTGACCAGTCCCAAGTTGCTGACAACGTCGCCTCGTTACTCATTGCCTTAGAACGGCTGCATTGAAGACGCTGCCCCTTGTAATTCCTTGTGTTCAGTCATGGACACGACACTTTGTGCGTTTTATACGTTTTTTTATTGAACAGACTTTAGACTTTTGGGTATTTACGCATCACACACTCGTACTAATGCAAGTTAGAGCAGGCAAGTGCAAAGCCACTCACACATGTTTTAGACGGTTCGAGTCCAGCTCTCCTGCAGACCTGTGGGTTAGACACAAACGTTAATCTCTCTCACCTCGCCTCTCTCCCACTTCTACAATAAGACTCATTTATCCCGCTCCTCGCTCATCCTTCTGCCTTGTCTAAGAATGTAATTTACACCAAAGAATATCAATACAGATTTTAAATGAAGCTCTAAATGAAAGGCTCCCTAAAAAACAAACGTTCAATTCTACTTCTGTATATTCTTGCGTATGACAGCAATCTGTTCAGGAGCTAAATGCCAATGTCACAGCGTCTGCTAGCCACTAGGGGAGGGCCTCTGAAGAGAGAGACGAGGTGAAGTGTTGCTAATCCTACGTTGGAGTGCAGACAGTAGTTTTACTATATGGGACATAGTAAAACAATTATTCACGAAATAATGTGGTGTCTAAAACGAGACCGTGAATGAGAAAATGAAACTGCAGGTTCTGCTACACCTCTGGCGTCATAGTGATTAGCTAGGCCACTCACATCCCTGGCACGTGACCCCTAATATGGTACATGACCCCTAACATCCATGGTACATGACCCTTACATCCATATCACACCATCTGCCTGAGCAGTGAAACCCAGTCTAGAAGTGCAGGTAAAATAAAATCTACAATGTAAGAGTGAAATGGCCTCTAGTTTTAGTGTTCAGTGCTTACGCTCTGGTGGCATCGTCTTTGTCTGGCACGTTTATCTCTGCAGCGTGAGGATCGCGGCAGGTGCTGTCGTCTGTGTGGAAAGCGAGATCCGAGGACAGGTCACCATCGGTAACTGCAATCCCTTCACAATAATTTCGCGTGTTTCATTCGCAACACCATTAAAATCAGATCCTTTTTGCGGCTGTGGCTGGGTGGAAACACTTTGTAGGAAAACAAACAGAATCGAATTTATTTTATCAGAACGAAACTGGTGCAAACAACACAAGCTTGCACACATAGTTCTGTGGTGTGGTTTTTGCAATTGAAATGTACAAACAAAACAGAAACGCTAATTTTATCCTGCAAGGTACTCTCACTACAATGTCATGCACATTGTTAATGCCGTGTTAAGAAGTATCTGCATTACGAAGTGAGCAAAACCAAAATGTGCAGGTGTTATTGTAAGGCTTTGGTTCCGTTTGTCCAACATATGCAGTCTGCTGGTATTCATCAGATTTCCAAAACACTTCAAGTTTATCAAACAGTGACTCAGTCTGGAAATTGCATTTGATTTAATAATGGTTTGGACATGTAACTAAGACTTCATCATTAAATATTTTTGGTTAATGCTCAGAGTTCTTATTGCTTTATTTTGGCAGAGATGTTTGAGTTGTGTCCTTGTTAGTGAAGGTTTGGCTTGACTAATCCATGGAGCGAACAAAAACTCCTGATGAAGGGTGTCGTTAAAATCTAATTTACGATTACTGGACTCCAATTATTATTGTTTTCAATTAAATGCAATTTTTTTTGTCACGTAAGTGAAATACCTTCCTGCTGTCTGTGTGGAGTGTCGTCTCCTATCGCTGCCGGGCTGTGCCTCTGGTACCGTGCCACCCTGGCGTGGACAAAGAGCACTCGGAACACTTAGAAGGTGTCAGATGTAGAAGCAAATTTACTTAATTTCTCAGTAGTGTGTGGGTAAGCCTTCACATCCTATACACGTTTACATACATCTACAGTGTTCCGCATTAGTTATACACAAGCATAAAGCCACGCGGCGAACTGAATTAAGTCCTTATCAATTAGTCTCAAGCATTTCCATACATAACATTTGCATACCAAATGTTATTTACGTGAGCATGTTCAGGAGCTACACTCCACTCACGTCAAGGCCACATGTGTTACTTGGTCTTCAGCGTTATGCAAACTGGTGCTTCACAGCCTACAGTGTTCAATGCTTGCCGCGTCTGCGCTCACCTATATGCGCTCACGAATGCTCACAAACACCATGGAACGCCCATGAGCACCTAAACCTTGCATCACATTTATCTCTGCTAAAAAATGATTGGTACATTTAGAAAAATACCTGTCGGAATCCTATGTTCTGGTGTTATTGATTATCTGGCAGGTGGGTGTGTACTGGAGAGATGTTTAATCAATTTTTCAGGAACAAGGACAGTTATCCATCCCAAGGCGAGGATTCTA